GTCCTGAATCCTGGGCAATGATTTTAAATACTGCTCTGAGAAAACATTCCCGCGAGAGGTCTTTCCGGTTGCTTTCTCTCCTTTGTTTTACATTAAGATACCCCCATGAAATCTGTCTTTTGTCCATTACCTCTGTTGAGAAAGATGATGCAAAAGGTTTCTGCAGCGTTCAAGAAGCCCAAGGAGGACAGCAAGCCAGAGGAGATTGGAGCTCAAGCTAATGGAAAGGTCAACGGCACGGCCAATGGCAAGCGACACTCCAAGGCTTCGTCCTATGTTGGTCCGGAAGAAGACCACAGCGCGAAGCGAAATGAAGTTGTCGCGACATTTGAGAAGTACGCGCAACTGATCCATGCATCTCGACGCCCGCTTCCAACACAAACTGGAGATGGCACCTATCTTGAACACGAGCCTTCCAGCAGTCTCTTTCAGGACCTAAAGGCCCTTAGCTTCAAGGACTATGCAACCCTGCTGGAAGTGATGAAAGTCAGAGCTTCCGGCCAGCTGGTCGATGACAAGACCATGTTGATGGAGCGGATCATACAGGTATCTATATTCCTTCGTCAGATAGCAGCCGTTTACGGTCTACGTCGCTAACCTCAGGTGTCCTCCAGCTCGTCAGCGGCCTTCCGTCGCATTCCAAAAACCGAACGGAACTCACAAATGCTTTCCTCGATGAGCTATGGACTTCGCTTCCGCATCCGCCACTTTCGTAAGAAGACAGACTGCCTTGCATGGGAGGCTCGGCTAAGACATGAATTAGATATATGGGAGATGAGTATCAGTATAGATCCGCAGATGGCTCAAACAACAACCCCACGCTCCCTTGGCTGGGAGCTGCAAACACGGCATACGCTCGCTCTATTCCACCGCTTATCGTCCAACCGGGATCGTTACCTGACCCCGGCTTGATCTTCGATAGTATCATGGCTCGAGACAAGTTTAAGCCTCATCCTAACAAAGTCTCGAGCGTCTTCTTTGCCTGGGCGTCCCTGATCATCCATGGTAGGCTCTACATGTCTCCGACGCTTCCTTTGACACCGTAAGCTGACATCCAGAGATCTCTTCGAAACCGACCACCGCAATCCTCACATCTCGAAGACTTCTTCGTACTTGGATCTGTCGATTCTGTATGGAGATAACCAAGAAGAACAGAATCAAATGCGTACTTTCAGGGACGGAAAAATCAAGCCCGACTGTTTTGCTGAGCCACGGCTGCTGGCATTGCCGGCAGTATGCAGTGTGCTTTTGGTCATGCTGAACCGGTTAGGATCCTGCGCCCGATTCAGTGAACTTCCGCGACTAACGACGCTGCTGTCAGATTCCATAACTACGTTGTTGAGCAGTTGGCATTGATCGTGAGAATGGCAGGTTTACCAAGCCTCGTCCCGATCTTCCTCCGGGGGAGGCTAAAAAAGCATGGGCGAAATACGACAACGACCTGTTCCAGACTGGACGACTGTGAGTTTTTCTGCTGGACTGTTCACGATCAGAGAGTGCTGATCACTGGCAGCATCACCTGCGGCCTCTACATCAACATCACGTTACATGATTATCTGCGCACAATTGTGAATCTGAACAGAACCAACAGCACGTGGTGCCTGGTAGGTGCACCCTATATGACACTCTAGGCTGAGCTGACAGCAACAGGATCCCCGTGCCAGGATGGACAAGAAGGATACCACCCCTTCCGGTCTTGGCAACCAGTGTTCCATCGAGTTCAATCTTGCCTATCGGTGGCACTCGGCGACAAGCGCCAAGGATGAATTGTGGACTGAAAATGTGTACAAGGAATTATTCGGCAAGCTTGCAAGTGAAGTTTCCATGCCCGAACTCTTGACGGGTCTTGGAAAGTACATGAACAACCTGGATAAAGATCCCTCGAAACGTACATTTGCCCATCTTCAACGCCAAGAAGATGGGACCTTCAGGGACGAAGACCTTGTCAACATCCTGACGGAGGCCATTGAAGATGTTGCTGGTTTGTGCCCGCTTTTCTTTCTTTCTTTCTTTTCTTTCTTCTTCTTGCTTCTTCTTGACTATCTTTGGAATTATGGCTCACACGTATCAGGGTCCTTCGGTCCGCGAAACATTCCCAAGGCACTTCGGGCGGTCGAGATTCTTGGTATCCAGCAAGCACGAAAATGGAACTGCGGCTCTCTAAATGAATTCCGCAAGTTCTTTGGTTTGAAGCCCTACGACACATTCGAGGAAATTAACTCCGATCCCTATATCGCGGATCAACTCCGCCACCTCTACGAGCATCCCGACTATGTGGAACTGTACCCCGGTATCATTGCGGAGGAAGCCAAAGAACCCATGGTCCCTGGCGTGGGCATCGCACCCACCTACACGATCTCTCGTGCCGTCCTGTCAGATGCTGTGGCCCTTGTACGCGGTGACAGATTCTATACCGTAAGTAGACGTCTCCTCCCTTCTGGGGTGTATCTCGACGTTAACCGTATGGCACAGACGGACTACAACCCTAAGAATCTGACCAACTGGGGATTCAATGAGAGCAATTATGACCTCAGCATCAACCAGGGCTGTATCTTCTACAAGTTGGCGCTGCGAGCTTTCCCCAACTACTTCAAACCGAACTCCATTTACGCTCACTATCCCATGACAATTCCTAGCGAAAACAAGGTGATCATGAAGAACCTTGGAAGAGAGTCTCACTACTGCTGGGACCGTCCCGCATTCATCCAGCCCAGGGTCAACCTGACCTCCTACGAAGCGGCCAAGCTGATTCTCGAAGACCAGAAGAACTTCCACGTCACCTGGGGAGAGGCTACTGGGTTCCTTTTCGGTAAGGGTGGCTTCGATTTCATGCTGTCGGGTGACACTCCTTTCCATACTCGGCAGCGAGAAATCATGGACAAGGCCCTGTATCGTGATCAATGGCACAAACAAGTCAAGGAATTTTACGAATACATTACGCTCAAGTTGCTGCATGAGAAGTCTTGCCAGATTGCGGGTGTCAATCAAGTCGACATTACCCGAGAGTAAGTCCTGACCCTTGGTTCTCTTGACGATCTAGCTGACGAATATCAGTGTTGGAAACCTTGCCCACGTGCACTTCGCTTCGAACATCTTCTCTCTCCCACTGAAGACAAAGGAGCATCCCCGTGGTATCTTCACGGAGCATGAAATGTACATGATCATGGCTGTCATCTTCACCTGCATCTTCTTCGACTTGGATCCGGCCAAGTCTTTCCCCTTGCGCCAGGCGGCTCGTGCCGTAGCCCAGCAGCTTGGCAAGATTATCGAAGCAAATGTCAAGTCTGTGAGCGCCACGGGTTTCCTTTCGAGCTTTATTGACAGTTTCCGTCGCAATGACAATGCCCTCGCGGACTACGGCATCCACATGATCCGCAGACTTCTTGACAGCGGCCTTAGTGCTTCCGAGATCACTTGGTCTCAGGTGCTCCCCACTGCTGTCGCGATGGTTCCGAACCAGGCTCAGGTGGTGAGTGCTAAGTCGTCTTTGCCGCATTTGGAGTAATGCTGACTGTCCGCCAAGTTCACTCAAATCATCGACTACTACCTGTCTGATGAAGGGAAGGTTCATCTTCCTGAGATCCACCGCCTGGCTAAGGAGAACACCCCCGAGTCGGATGACAAGCTGCTGCACTATGCCATGGAGGGTATCCGCCTCAATGGCACGTTCGGATCATACCGCGAATCCCAGACCAACGTTACTATCAACGACGGCGGCCGCCAGGTGAACATCAAGCCCGGCTACAAGGTCTTTGTCAGCTTCGTAAGTGCCACATTTCGAAACTGTCTTGGGCCTGAATTATACTTACACAGTACGACACAGGTGAGCGCCGCACGAGACCCGAACATCTTCCCCAACCCGAACGAAGTCCGTCTTGACCGTCCCCTGGAATCGTACATCCATTACGGTGTAGGTCCTCACACCTGTCTGGGCCGCGACGCCAGTCGGGTCGCGTTGACCGCGATGCTGCGTGTTGTGGGAGGTCTGGACAACCTGCGCCGCGCCCCGGGCCCGCAGGGCCAGCTGAAGAAGATTCCCCGCCCAGGCGGCTTCTACATCTACATGAGGGAGGACCATGGAAGCTACTTTGTCTTTCCGTTGAGTAAGTGGCGTCGAAATAAGCCTTTTTCTTTTCGCTTTTGTCTTCTGAGTCAACTAGACTAACTGTTATTAGCCTTCAAAGTGCATTATGACGGTCAACTCCCGCCGCTGAAGGGCAGCTCTAGCTAATCCTAACCTTCATCGTCATCATCGAAAGATATCCAGAAGGAGGAAGTAAGTTTTTTCTTAGTGTTGGTCTACAAATTCGCTCGAAGCAAATGTACGGCGTGGCATTCATTCATTCATTCATTCATTATTTTTTTTTCTAATTTCGGGCGACTTTGCAAAGAATAAGGATATTTCATCTCTCCACTCTCCCATCTATAAGAAAGCAGGGAAAAAAAAGAGAGAGAGAGAGAGAGAGAGATCTGCTTAATGACGAATACAATAAATTGAAGCTGAGCAGATGATAAAATGAATATACTATTCCACATGTAGCGTGCAGTTATCAAGGAATACGGTGTATGATTCTTTTTTTATCTCTCTTCTCTTAATTAGTCTGCTCGTTTTTCTTAGAACGAAAGTATATGATGAGAGAATGCTCATATTGCTGATAGTCTCGTCTCAGTAATACTCGAAACTCAGCTTCCAACATTGAAGTGGACTTGTTGGGGAATTACCTTTTTCAGTACTCTGTATGGTTAGCTACGCTCGGGTCGGTAACTTGTCTGGTCTTTTCACCGCCTTCCATTTCTTGCACACCGCCTAGGAAAGGGGCGTGAAATCGTGAACTGGCGTCCCTCCGCATTTTGGATCACCACCAACCTACAGACTCAGCACATGAAATAATTACTTTACGGAGTCCTGAAGTTCCTCAACTTCTCGATTCCAGCAAATACCCCCCCAGCAGCAGGCCTGCAGGCCCTTCTGTCGCCATGCCTCCCAAGGCTGCCAAGGGCGAGTACATTGAGACGGTTAGTCGCACACAGTCAATAACAATGCTACTTTGTTTCCCATAATAGTTCGCCAGCAAGTACAGTACATACATGTACTTGAGAATTGTATGCACATGTACATACTTGGGTTTGCAACGCTGACGATTATACCCTCCGCTAGGACACGGGAAACAAAATCTCACGAAAGTCGCTCATCCACGGCACGCAGCACATCATCCTCGGCGGGAAAACCGTGATTCAGGCCGAGGCCGTCATCCGCGGGGACCTGTTCCGGCTTCCGCAATCCTCGTCCTCCTCCTCCTCTTCCGGAGGAGGTTCGCAGGAAGGGGACAACAACGCGAATGCGCATGCGAATGCTGCCGCTTCGTCCTCCGTCGCCATAACCGTCGGGCGCTACAGCTACATCTCGAAACAGGCGGTGTTGCGCCCTCCGTCGCGCTTCCACCGCGGCGTGTACTCGTTCTACCCGCTCAAGATCGGCGATCATGTCTTTGTCGGCGAGAGGGCGGTTGTCGAGGCCGCGACCGTGGGCAATCATGTCCATATCGGCAGGGATGCGGTCATCGGGAACATGGCCATTCTGAAGGATTACTCCTACGTGCTGGACGGGGCTGTTGTGCCGCCGCAGATGGTCGTCCCGAGTTTTTGCGTTGTTGGGGGTGCGCCGGCAAGGATCGTGGGTGAGGTCGGAGAGGGATATGGCGTGGAAGGGGCGGAAGGTGGGTTAGCAAGAGAGAGATATAGAATGGTGGGGAGGTAATAAATGCCTTAGGCATGTCGGGCGATGTTTTTTCCCGTTTGGTTTGGTTTTTTTTTATCTTCTGTTCTGTTCTATATGTTACTTGATACCCCTGACCGGCGTTGGAAGTCATTGATAATGGCACTGTCATGTCAAATTATTCATTCGGACTGTCGTAAGCATAATCACTTATCGTAAAGGTATATGTATAACATAGTCAAAGAGACAAACAAAATCAAAGGCGGCTCGTAGAACTCGGCTGGTTCATTACATTTTTACTTCAGGTCTTTTACGTCAAGCGCCCTCTTCAGCCTGGTCTCCCCCGGCTGGTACGGTTGGCCGGCTTCTTCACGAGCCATGTCATTGATCCATCTCCCATCGGGCTTGATCGGCTGGCCATTCGTCAGCTTCGAGGCCAGATACAGCCAGCACATGGTGTTACCCACGGTACTGACTTCGTCGCTGACCGTGCATAGCGCCTCATGGCTCATACGGCTGTACAGTTCATTATCGGTAAACAGGTCATACATATGCTTGGCCACCGCGTCAGTATCGCCCACTTCGACCAAGAATCCATTTTTCCGGTCTTGCAATTGGAGAGGAATGCCACCGGCCATGGTGGCGATCACCGGCTTGCTCTTATGGATTGCCTCCGACACCTTGACCTCGAAACCCTCGCGGGTGGAGAGCTGCAGCACAATCTTGGCCTTTGAGAGGAGAATGTTGAGGATCTGGTCTGTGGGCGGGAGCCGCATCACACAGATATAGTCCATAAGATGCGACATCCTGGATCTGATATACTCGAGCACCGCGTCATATATCCTGCTTCCATCCGGATCGTCCAGTGAGCTATGTCCGCATATCAAGAGTTTTGGTGGTTTAATGTCAGGTGCAGTGTCTCCCAAGCGTTCGTGGAATTTTGCATATGACTCCAACACGTCGAATATGCCCTTGGAGGGATCAAATCGGGCAATTTGAGCAATGTATTCATCTGTAATTTCACTTTGCCATCAATAGACTGCCCGAAGACAGAAGGGGAGGGGGGAATATAGTCTGCGAGTTCGTACCATCTGGATGCGCAATCATAGGCATTTCGTTGTTTCTGCATGATGTATTGAATAGCCGCCCATAGAATGCCACATCCCAGTCCCTCATATTCTTGTTCAGCCCATCCAACCTGAGACAAGTCAGTCCTCCCGCCCAATTTGCGATGGTTCGTTCTTACCAATCTGTCGACGCAGGCATATAGCCCACCATCTCCTGAGGCACGTTCGCCGGCACGAACGCTGCTACAGGATGACTGATGAAAAGGTCCGCGAGCTTGATGCGTTCCCAGAACCACTCCCACGCTTCCGCCTGAGATGTACCGGCGGTGGCTATCAGATCACTGCGGATCTGTATGTGACTTCGAAAGATCACAGGCCTGTCCGGAGCAGCTTTCTTGGCCAGCGGGATCAGCCCAGGCATATGGGGATCGTCAACAATAACAATATGTGCTCCTCCCTCCGAGGGCGGAGTTAGTGGTCCGCCTTTGCACAGCCAATACCGATTAGCATTATCATTGATCCAATCGGTCACGAAGCGCTGCTTCTCCGGCGTGAAACGTTCCTCAGGCTTGGACACGCCTTGCAAAATATTGTGGTTCGTTTTTGTGATACGGAATACCCCAGGTCGTGGTTTTGGGACATACCTAGCCATTCAGATCAGTATCTAATTTGAGACAGTCAGATAAATTGATGGATCGCAAGAACTTCGGAGCGGCACTCACCACCTGACGTCCGTTTGTAACGCGCGAGAACACCTCACGAGAGCATGTCTCATGAGTGCCACCCCACCACCTTGAGGGGTGGCACTGAAGAATGCGATTCTGATCTTTCTGTTCTTAATATCGGTTGCGTAATGGTTCACGGCAGCCCAAGTTGTCTGGCCAACAGTCCGCTGATAGTCATGGAGACCGGCTAGACTGATATGAAAGGAGGAATCGACCTCGACAAGGCCCTGGATGCCAACTTGCAACAGAGGGTTATTATTCGGCCCGAAAAACCTGTGACCATCAGCTTCTATCAGGCAACTGCATTGCAATTCCTCTAGACGCACCTGATGCATTTTCGGGCCATAGATTCCGCAAGTTCATCCACGCTCTTTTCCCGCCACGAAGCCAAGGCTTTCGAGCCAGATGCCTCCAATGGATCTCTCTCATGCATAGCCAATGGCACTATATCCAGTTCGCTCCATAACCGGGAACAGAGATTCGGACATCGGTGAGCGATCTTGTCCGGCATTGCCACACCCGCGAACTTCTCCAGTTGCTTGTCACTATAGTCGCGCAGTTGGGTAATAATAAAGTTCTCAATCGCAGAGTATGGGGGCTTTCGCGACTGGTCCGGTAGAAAAGGATACTCCAAGAAATCCAGCAGGTACGTCGTGTCGCGAATTGCGATCGCGATCACCGAGGCCGAGTCCTCTGAGAAATCAACCGCGATACCGCCATACAAAGTCTTTACTCGCAGTGAGCACTCCTAGTATCACATAGATGCGGGGAAATAAGTTTCGTCGTACTTCCAGAGGAGGACCAGACCAGGCATTCTTTTTAATGTGATGGCGCAGAAGATCTTGCTGATAGATGGAGCCACGGCGTTCGAAGCTGTGTCCTGCCTGTCCATCTGCCGCATCGGAAGAACTCATCGTGTTCACAATCTATACAGACAACCACTAATCCTAGGTTTCTACCTCGACCCACGCTCTCGTTATTAGCGGTGAGAAGTTAAGCACGACTGTCGGCACCACGAGACTCAAAGAACGAAAAATTAACGGCAATGCCGCCAGGGGGTAATTGAGGATTAATCTGTTCAGTATCAGAACATGCGCTAGGAATTTGGGTATACATTGCAAGCTCACACCTTGTTGCTGACCAAGACAGTGTCCGGCGATGACCTCACGCCCGGGAGGCTATGACGTACGAGTCGTTCTGCAAGACGTGGGTTCTACCCAACATCTTTACGACCTCGTTTGGAAGTATGGAATATATTCAAAACAAGCATCATCGTTGGAAATGGACAATTCCAGGTCTGAGAGAAGGCCTTTGTTTTCGCGTTCCTGACACGCCATCTGCAGCCCTCGCCAAGAGATCCAGCTCGTGATCGGGAGAGCTACGGCGTTTCCCCCAACGATCATCACCCCGAGTTGGATGACTGGGCGCCATAGCGACAGTTATTGCGTCGTATATACACGACGACCTTAATATTCCAGATCGGGAGTCGGAACTGTCCTACGCGGAGATGTATTTACATTTTACCCCGACCGTGCGGCGGATAGCAGATCGACGATTGACGCACGTGCCTCTTCAGGCATGGCGTCGCAGGATTGGTATTGCCCAAAGCGGACTAGCGCACCGGCGCCTGAAACAGGGGAAGGTCTTGGCACAGCCCGCGGGGTCTTAGTCAGCAGGCAATCGGCAGCCCCTTTTACGCCCCTCGGAGCTGCCCCTGTTGGCTGCTGCTGGACTAGGCACGCGGACGCCCAGCGATCCTCGTGTGCGCCGTCGTGGAGCGTCGCACTGTCAATTTTCCAGTTCCTCGACTGCCCGCTGTGAGAGGCCCTCCTATCAACCTGCGGTGAGTTCTCCTGCCACTCTTTCGTCTCGACTGCCTACGTGGAGCTCTCCTTGAGCGTGTTACCCTCCGTCATCGCGCGCATCCCTGTTCTTGTTGACAGATAGACAGTTGCTAACACTGCAGTCGACGGCAGGGTCTAACCGTCGCTCATCATCCAGGACGTGGAAACGGCTCCTGAAATCGATTTGAGCCGGTCAATTGATCTCGCAACTGCTTCCTCCACCCCTCAGACACAGCCGATCGCAATAATTTGCAGTTGACAACCGCAGAACACCAATCACCATGGGTGGCCAGGTTTCCAAGGTGATGGCCAAGATCTTCGGATCGAAGGAGATGCGTATTCTCATGCTGGGTCTCGATGCGGCAGGGAAAACGAGTGAGCAGCCTCTAGATGGTAACGCCTAATTGAGCCAGGGGTTAATGTTATTTCGTTCTGCAGCCATTCTCTACAAGTTGAAACTCAACCAGGACGTCACCACCATCCCGACCGTCGGCTTCAACGTGGAAAGCGTCACCTACAAGAATGTCAAATTTAACGTCTGGGATGTCGGTGGACAGGACAAGATCCGTCCCCTGTGGAGGCACTACTACTCAGGTATGCAGAAGCAAGGGTATCAGCAAGCAAGCTCAGCAGTTTACTTATTACGCCCCTCCAGGCACTCAAGGACTTATTTTCGTCGTCGACTCCAGCGACACGGCTCGTATGGACGAGGCTCGTTCTGAACTGCACAAAATCATCAACGACCGTGAAATGAGGGATGCGCTTCTGCTTGTGTTCGCCAACAAGCAGGACATTGAGGGCCGTATGTAACATCGCTCCGGACTGAGTTGTTGCAAGCCACTGACTGAAACTTCGGCAGACCTGAGCCCCGAGGAAGTGACCAACGCATTGCAACTGAACAAGCTCAAGGACCGGCTGTGGTATGTCGTGCCCAGTGTAGCTACTCAGGGCACTGGAATCTTCGAAGGATTGGTAAGTCGAGGCATAGTATAGACCTTGCTTGGATTCCGAACTCATATGGCGTCTGCAGGCCTGGCTGTCGAATAACGTGAAAACCACGCCCCAGAAATAACGGACACCTCTTCCACCACGCGTCTATAACAATTACCAGTCTGCTCCCTACGGTCAAATCTACAAGCCACCCCTGTACAACACGTAATCACTTGGCAGATATGTTTCCTTTTTTCTCATGACGACACAGTTTGATTTTGTGCTTTTTCTTTCATGTGCATGCTTTCAATTGGTTGCCTCTGGCTCATGATATCCCCTTTGTTTTCCTTCAGTCAGCCGTGAATGATCACTGTCTAATGTTTTCTATTACTTAATCACCACCTGTTTAATGCTCTATTTATTGGTCATTTTCTCAGATTTTATTGTGGAGCTGTCTGGAGCTGTCTATAGAAAAAGCAGCTCCGATTCTAGCCAAGGAGCGTTGTCCAAGATTGTTTCCCCACCAATGTTATTGATAGGCAAGTCTAGCTTTACTGTAGCATAGGTCGGGTGCTAGATCGTGGCGAGCATAAGATCCCTTAACTCTGGAATACACGTCATAGATCGGATATACTTGACCTTCCACCTACCCGAGTAGGTAGATCTTTGAGGTCCTTTCGAAAGAGGCAAAAAGGAAACAGAGTTTATGCTATCAGCTCGACATCGATCCCACCGCCACAGGAACGGATATCCGACCAGCCACAACCCGTATCGTCATCTGTGGCACGGAAGTATCTTCCACGCGCTTCATGCGTACGTTCTTCCTCTCGAGTCATTCCGTTCTGTCCTGCTATCAAGGGCAAAAAATATACCTAAAGATTATCCATAACATACGTAGTAATTTATTTCATCCAGTATGTCAGGATGACGCAGGTGGCACCTTACTACTACAACACGACACAGTACGTGTAGCACACCCATTCACATCTAATCGCTACTATCAATATCAGCATACGAATAGCAGTCAATCCATTGACATCAATCAAGTCCGAAGAAAAGGGGGGGGAAAAATGGCCACCGACTGCCACTGGGCTATAAATTCAGGGAAAGAGTTCCTTCTTCCTCTTTCCTTCCTTCTTTCCTTTTCCTCCCTTTTCTGTATATGACGTATAATTGCTATTTTATAATATTGCCTTTTTGTTCCCTTGCTTGCAAGCAAACACATCTTTCAACACGAATCAGAACTAAATAAGTTCGAAGAAACTCTCAACAAACAACACAATGCCTCAATACAAAGTGGGTCAGGAAGTTCGCTACAAGCCTGTTGGAGGTGGGTTTATCTGTTCCAATATCATCATGAAGATTCTCTTAACTGTGTGTTGAAGGCCCCGAATCCAAAACCTCCGAATCCGTCGGCATCGTCAGAGAAGTCATTACCGAACCGGGCTTCCTGACTGGCCGACACGTCCAAGCTTCGCCCGACACTCCGCGGTATGAGGTTAGTACAACAAATCTCTTTTCTCTCCCATGGCTGTCCTTTTCAAGGGCATGTGTTGATGATGATTACTTGACAGATTGAGAATTCGACGACCCATAAGCGGTCCGCCATCAAGGAGGATAACATCATTGAACGGGCTTAAACAGGTCAAGATCATTTAACCAATGGGCCGGTATTATGCGGAGTGAGTGGTGCCAGTTGTTGAGATGATGTATGGATGGATGTTTTGGGAGGTAGGATGGAAGGAGAAAGAACGTACATAGAATGAAAAGGAGATAGGTATATAGGGAACGAACGAGAAAAAGATGAGGGGTTCATAGATTTTACTTCTTACTCGCTTCTCGAATGACTTGTGACTATTTTTAGTGACTATTTTAGTAGAAGATGGTGGACGATGAGCCTACATAACCTAGAATAATAGAACGTGAGGTGGATTGAGGACCTTTGAGGCCTGCCTCATGGGCTAACAGGGTACTCTGTGGGGTTGGCCCTCAACAAGATTGATGTATTTAAATAGACTGCTGGAAGCACCTCAGGGAGAGAAACAAGTACATCCTATTTACTTTTTGCTTTTACTCATCTCATTCCTATATACAGTGGTTTTCCATATGTGCATACCTCATACACAGTACGTACGTACAGCCACGATGGTTACGTAAAAGTCATGACTACGTGTTGAAAACACCAACTTTTTTTGCGTCTCGTCTCGTCTCGTCTCGTCTCATTGAAGAATCACCGCTCCTAATCGTCTTGTTGAAAGTCGATTGGAGGTGATATATTGTCGTCTCGTCTCATCTCGTCAAATCATCGTTTCAGACAATGATTGTGGGTTGAAAACCGTTTATGGCTCACCAGGCCAGAGGTCGTTGGCAATCTCGCGCACCAGCTTCAGCTTCTTGATCATGTCTTCCCGGTTGATCGCGTTGCCCTCGTGGTGGCTGGCGAACCCGCACTGCGGGCTGACACCACATCGAGCCAAGGCCTCCTGGGCAGTCTCGTTGTTGCCGGCGGCGATGAACTCGGCGGCAGAGAGGACGCGCTTCTTCATCTCCTCCTTGTCCTCCAGCGTGCCGAACTTGCTGGTCACGACGCCCAGGATGACGTTCTTGTGCTTGGGCAGCTCCTTCAGAGGCTCGAAGCCTCCCGCACGCGGGGTGTCGTACTCAAGGTAGTACGTGTCCACGTTGAGGCTCTTGAACAGCTTCGTCGCAATGCGGTCGTAACCGCCCTCCGAGAAGTGACGGCTGTTGACGAAGTTTCCACGGCAGAGGTGCACGCCCACGTGCAGGTCTGCCGGCCGGTTCGCCAGACAGTCGTTGTACAGCTTGATGTACTTGTCGAGCAGGTCTTCCGGGGTGCCCTTGTTGAGGGGATCGGCAAACCACCCTTCAATCATCTTCTCGGAGCAGAAGTCTGCAGAACGGTGGTCAGCATCTTTTCCAGTCAGTCAAAGGGAGTCTCCGTCGGAAGCCATACAAGCCAAGTTCGGGTCATCGTACTGCACGTTCCGGCAGCCAGCCTCGTACAGGATCCGCAGTTCCTCCTGGTACGCCTTGGCAATGTCGCCGAAGTACTCTTCGTCGGAGCTGTACACTTCCTTGGGGTACGCCACGCCCTCCTTGTACCGCATGTGGTACCAGTTCGGCGCTGCCAGCGTGATCTTGATGTTCTTGACCTCCTCCGGAGGAACAAGGCTGGCCAGGTACTTGAACTGGTCCACGTAGGTGCTGCCAACGTGCTTGATCTTACCCGTGCACACCACGGTCTCGCCGGGTTCCATCTTAGACTCCATGAAGGCAGCCACATCAGGCATGTACGGACGGAACATTCCTGGGTCCGGCTTGTCGATCTGGGTGAAGCCCTCCAGTCCAGGGAAGAAGGAACCCCAGAACACTGGAGATTGAAAACGAGATAGGGTCAGTCGTTGATGGGCCTACGTAATTAAAGCTCGAGTATTTTTCTGGCGCTTACTGTGCCTCCGGTACTCTCCATCTGTTATGGCAGAGTAACCAAGCTCCTTCTGGAGCTTCACAACGTCCTTGATATCCTGGTCCTCGATAGCCGTGAGCTCCGACTTGGGCGCCTTTCCTGCATTGACCTCTGCGCGCTTCTTGAGGAGGGCTTCCGTTCGGAGCAGCGAGCCCAGGTGCTCAGCCCTGAAAGGGGGGTTGCGGTGCAGCGTGGCGGACATTTTGAGACGCTATTTCTCTGGGAGCAACTCAGTCAATGTCACGCAGAGCATGGAGACAGCACCGCGACAAGGTGGTGCACCTACCTTTGGCAATGTATGTGGTGATAATGGTATACGGTCTCTTTCAGAAGATAGAGAGAGAAGAATGAACACAGCTCCGGTTCGACCACACAACAAACAAAAGGAGGGGTATTTTTTCCTTCCCCTCCCCCTCGCAGGCTCTCCGAGCGGGGACTTTGCAACCAACGGAGCAACTTCGGTATCTCCATCATTCGCGTCTGCCGGTCCGTCCGGCTGTTATCCAGAAGGGGTAAAGATCCATGCTTGGGTGGTGTTTGGCTCCCCACATCGCAGCCCCAGTGAGCCAGCAGCCTTCAGGGACCAGCTCTGTGTGAGCGGGGATGGAGGAGAGAGGAGTTCTTAGGTAGGACGGTCTGGTAGGAACGGGCCAGTCAGATTCGAAGATTGTTCATGAGACTGTCATGTGTTAAGATGGGGGCCTTGTCGTACGTTTCACTTCAGCCAGGGTCTAGCTCGAAGGTCATGAGGTACAGGACATCAGGTAGGATGCTGTCATCCAGAAAGTGAGAATTTGAATTGGTTTGCGATTCCCTTTCTGAGTAATCCCGTTCTCCTCGATGCAGCAGCTTATTTGCAATTTACTTGCCGGCGGAGAGATACGTTGAGATCGGTACCTGGGAGGTGGAGCTATGACAACATTGAACCACTCGCTCAACCAAGCTATTACTGTAATTATCCGCTGGATTATATTTTAGACCTATTTACACCTCCTCACTCTCTTATACACAGTTGTCAATCGAAAAGAGTCATTTCATGCTCTGTTCTTTTCAACTGCACATACATAGTGTGGCGCGACAAGGCCCCCACCTTGGTCTTATCTTTGCTGTCGCAGGGCCATGAGTGCGACTGTACGCTGGAATTTGTCAGACATATAAATTGTACTGTACCGTACATCTACTTCGCTACTCGAATCACCTTCTCTTCTTGCCTCAGGAGTTACTTTTTATGCTTCATCTTTGACTGTAGCAATTCATCGATGCTGTATGCATGTCTATTGCTTCGCGCTCGAAAAGTGGGGTTCGAGATGCAGATCTGCTCATGCTCATGCAGCTGTTGACATGTCAACTGAAGATGAGGCATAGATTTCTTCTAGAAGAGGTATACGAAATGGGAGTCAAAAAGGGTCCTAACTTGCCGACCGCTGTGGATAAAGACCTCAATTTTAATAATGGTCTGGACTTTTACTAACCACTCCTCTAGTGTATAAGTAGCTATAATTCTGTGCTGAACAGAAGGCCAAACCCTCACTTTGTTCGCAATTTTCTACATATGGCCTGGCTCTTTGCTGCAAGGTTGTAGTTTACAGTAATCAAGAATCGAAGCTCTTACTCTCTGGACCCCAATTTCTTTATGCAGATCAGGCTGAGCAGCAGGTTCTGGTTGCTAGTGCACTGCACAGGACTGACCGTGCCCTCCTTCCTCACTTTGTCCGAATTCTTTGTTAAACATGACTTGGCAGGGGTAGAGAGGCCTGAGCTTACCTATCTCAGGATGAACCTCTCACTTTGTCCGAAATCAATCTTTATGCAGCTGGTCATCAGATCACCTGACCTGCCACTCCCTCTCCAGGGCCCGGACACTGACCTCACCCACCCCTGCCCTCTCATAGACTCACCCGGACTTTGTCCGCCAAGATTTCAATATGGAGCCTGGTGAGCTTTTGTTCAATCAGAGGTCAGATGCTGAGGTTTAAGCTGTGGCTCTGGGAGACCCAGACCTATGGCTCCGATCTGATCTGATCGATCTGATCGATCTGATCTGGCATGGCCTGTTCCGGACCCTCCTCATGCAGGCTGAGCAGCAAGGTTGTGACATGAACATAACAAAACCCTCACTTTGTCTGAGTTCTTCAGAGAACCTTACTCAGCCCAGGCAGAGACCTGAGGTGACCTGGCTGAGGATGAAACTCACTTTGTCCGGATTCTTTGTGCAAGCCAGTCTGGGCAGAATATTCTGTTTATGGGTTTCTTTGACTCAGCTATCCTGTTACCTGACCTATCTCTTTCTTCTTTGTTCAGCAACACCATGACCTACTAGGTAGGTCCACCAGGCTCATCAAAATTGCAGGGGACTTTGGTATCTACTCCGTACGTGGCCGAAAAGTCGCGCTATTTCTACACGTCAGAAGTTCTGTTTCTGGATCAGCTCCAGACTTGTTCCTCGACACTTGACACTCTACGTACAAGTACTGTATTCGAAGCTCCTTCCAAGGAGTGAGTGATATGACGAGGCCTTCCTTAGAAAGCGATAAGCAATCAATCTGAAGTGTTTTCGCGAAAGCTTCTCTAGGCGAAGACGTTTACTTAATCATAGTCAATTTACTAGCTCTGCCAACAACGGAAATGCTCTAGATCGAGGGCTTTGATTATCGCGATGAAAATCTCGATGAAAATAAATAAGCAAAATACCCAATGACGTCTGAGCTTTTCCCCTTCGAAACGCTGAGTTTTCCATGTCTGTGTGAAAACGAGAAGTATTAATGGAAAAAAAAAGAAGTTTTTGTTGACATTCTCAGATTTACTGTACATGTGCAGGATTGTAACCCATAGTAAGTTTGTTTTAGGCTATCAATATTCAGTTGTTGTTGAACGACAAATCATGAGCGCGGGATCATCCGGGCAAGACGGATGGTGGGGTAGTTCTTTAAGTTCATCGGTCCACGTACGTACACGAACGTCTTGTTGACTGCCAACATTACCAAATGACTTGATGCAGGCTTCTCACCAGGAATTGAACTCCATGTCAACGCCATCTCAGAGTCTATCCGGCAATGATGGTCCCTGGAGATCGGGACCTCCCAGACACAGTGTCGAAAGCTTCGAGACAGGTCGTCTTCGTCCTCGACATCGTCATACAGCACTGCCTCCATCACCATGGTGCTCTCCAAGCCTCAGCTCGACTCCCTTCCGAACGAGCTCCTCTACCAGATCCTCTCTTACCTCTCCGAAGACCCGCCGTCAATTCGCCAAGTCCATGAACCTCCCAGTCTGAAGATCACCCGTTCCCACCGACGCAATCTCAAACACCTCTCGTGCACCTCGTCTCGCTTCCTCAAGCTCGTGCGACCGCTGCTCTTCGCCCACGCGTGCTTTGACATCGAGGATACAGAACCATTTCTTTCGTTCGTGAAGCGCTCCGGACTGAGCCGAAATGTGGACTCGATCGTGGTGCTCGTGCGCACGGCATACCTCGCTTCCAAGGAGCAGCTCTTCTGGTGGCGTCGCGTGCTGAGCGACCTGGATCCGCTGCGCATTACCATCGTCGCTGCACCGACTGTCGTCGGCGAGATGGCCGCCACCAAGATCATGGATGCGCACAGCTGGGCGTTTGATATCCCCTTTCAGATCCTGCAACTGGAGCAGGACCCCCGGACGACGAGCAGCAGCAGCCGCAGCAGCCGCTTCACCTTCCCCGACCTGAGCGCTTGTCCCAGTTTCCTTCACGCGCGACGGTGGGACTCGCTCGTCTTCAACGAGTCATCCTCGCTCAAGGCTTACAATCACTACGAGTACTTTCTCTACCACATTCCCTCGTTGCTAGATACCTGGGGAACGCCATCGACTGTGCCACCGCCGATCGAGTCCTTCGACCCGCTCGCCTCCCTCCGGTATCTAACCTCGTTCCACTACACGGCGGTCTTCCCCTTCTACAACCACATCGGGGTAGTCCTCGACGTGGTAGAGCGGATGATGATCAATCTGCAATCGCTCACCGTGCAGCTCGCGCCGGGCCCGAACAACCGCGTCATCGAGGACGAGCAGAGAGGGTCCATGGATCCCAACGACCCCTGGATGGAGCTCTCGACGGGGTACTCGCTCATCGCGCATACGGTCCGCGATCTCGGTGCGCAGAGGACGCTCACGACGTTTCGGTCGTGCGACTACGACATCGAGGCGCTCAGGTCGAATCTCGCCGTCGTTGTGGACGACGTCCTCTCCGATAGCGAGTGGCTGCACGACGGCCACGGAACGTGGACGAGGATTGAGCGGCCATTCCAACGAGCGGGAGACGCATCTGTTGCGCAGTCCTAATATTAGGTGTATGAAGACGGACCAGAAACTCGTTAAGATCCAGCATCGCATCATTCTACAGTACAAACATCTGCCTACTGATAGGGTAAGGATTTTTCTATCGAGAAATACACCTAACGATTGCAGAACCGATCGATCCTGCCCTTCATGACATGGATCATTCAACAAACGTATACATTAAAAAAAAAAAGGAAATAATAGACACATCATTGCAACAGTAACAGAACTCCATCCATGTCCAGAATGCCGAAGATATATCCACACAGCTTTATAACCGAAGGGAGAAAAAAAAAGGTCCATAGTAACAGAAGAACCCCATTCTCGATTGTCTCAATAGGCATTAAACATCGACCGCGTGCAGTTCCCGTTGCGTATAGGGATTCGAAACAGGAATACCTGCTTTGCGCTTCGACTGAGGCTTGGGCCGGGAAAGTGTGTATCTGGAGAGAGTTTAGTTGTGTCAGCGTCATATGCTCAAAAATATTCTCGATACAAAGGTGATTGATTGGACGTACTTGGCAAAAGCTCGTGACAGCGCCTTCTTACAGCTGACTTTCTGGCTGCCAATGAATGATTCCACCGTCACGGCAATCGCCCGGTCGATGTCCTGCGACGAGCAATAGTCGGACAGACGCATCTTGCAGAATGCCTCTGCGATACGCATAATGGCTTCCAGGTGGCGGACCTGTTCGACGTGTTATCAGATCAGCAGCTGCGACTGTATTTTTTCTAAAGGTATTCTAACGTACCGTGATCGGGTAAGCTCCCGTAGCCAAAGACTCCCGTCTCATGTCGGCGAAGAGTCGCGCGATCTTATCCTGATCAATCTGGTAGAGTTTGGGGTGGCATCTCTCCCTGGCGTAGAGAATGTATTTCCGCAGCAGTTCCTGCGGAATCTCGCCTTCTTTCTCCTCCACCGCCTTGCGCTCGGCTTCCTCTCGCTGGCGTTTTTCCTCCTCAGTAAGAGGAAGGCGGTTGCCATCCTTGTCAATTCGATATCCCTCCTCATCGATACGATTTCCGTCTTTGTCGATGAGATTGCCTTGGTCGTCTCTGAGGGGCTTGGGAGGATTGGCACGGTGGTGCGACTCGACCACGAAACTGGCCAACCGCTCATCTTCGTCAGGCTGGACCGTGTCGCGGATAACGCACAGGATGTCGAAACGAGAAAGGATAGGCTCGGTAAGTTCGACATTCTGCGAGAAGGGAAGCGTGCTATTGTAACGGCCGCCAATCGGGTTGGCCGCGGCGATAACTGCGCAACGGGCTTGAAGCGTGGTGACAATACCGGCTTTCGAAATTGAAATCGTCTGCTGTTCCATGGCTTCGTGGATTGAAGTACGATCCTGGTCGTTCATTTTATCGAATTCATCAATCAAGCAGGTTCCACGGTCAGCGAGCACGAGTGCTCCACCCTCCAAAGTCCATTCACTCGTCAATGGATCCTTCCGAACGCTGGCTGTCAGACCGACGGCACTGGCTCCCTGGCCGGTCGCGAACACCGATCGATGGGCGGTCTTCTCAACATACTTGAGGATCTGAGACTTGGCGGTACCCGGATCACCAAGAAGCAGCACGTTGATGTCACCACGAATGGGCATCTTGCCTTGAGCCTCTTTCCTCACTCCTCCGAAAAGCGAAAGCGCAACTGCGGTCTTCACGTCCTCGTGGCCGTAGATACTCGGGGCAATAGAACGGATGATCTTGTCGACAATATCGGGATCCTTCGAAAGGGCCCGGATTTGGCGCTCATCCTCCTCTGTCAAGTGGAAACCAGCCATCTGGTCATGGGACTTGACAATATAGTTGGCCTCAATGATCGTGGAAAAGACGGGGAACCCGTTCTTGTTGTTAAGCTGTGCATCATAGCTGTTCCGATAAATACCAGTGACCTCAATCTCATCTCCAGGCTTAGCACTGTCGATGAGGTCAGCGAGAAGAATAACCTCGCGCTGCCGCGGAAGACGTCCTGGAGGGACAGTGCCCGGCGACTCTTGCAGGGTCAGCTTCTGATAATTTCGGTAAACCGTCTTCTCCGAATTCATGGTGAAAGGACCCCTCGACTGGCAGTTCTGGCAATATGAAATCTTGACTTCGGCAGCCGCTTCCTGCTGGAAAGGACCAAGAGTGACGCCGCATTTGTTGCACAAGAACATGACGTATTTCAGCTGGGGAAACACGCCAGTCCGTCGCGTGACAACTCCGCTGACGCGGACAAGGCAGTTCAGATGGGACTGACGCAGTTCTCTGAGCGAGTAGACGATCGGGAGATCGGTGATCCGCACGTGGATCTCATTGTGGATGTCAGCATATTGTGGGTAGTGGAACAGTGTGATATCCAGAGCAGTCTGGTCAAAAATCTTCAGCACCTCTGTAGGCTCATTTGCGACAAAGTACGCAAGAACGGCCCTACTCGAGGCGAGGTGATCATAGGAGACCTCCAGAGATGCGGAGTTCACTTCACCAAGAGTTTTGACTCGATTCCCATAGACCGATTGACCAGAGGCGTCGATGTACTCGGTCAAAAACGCTTTGAACTCGCGACTGATGGACCGCATAACCTGCGGCTGCAGGATCCACTCCGTGAGATTGCCAGCCTTGACATCACCCAGCTCCTCAAGAGAGAGTTCTTCCTCCATGATATCATCGCCCATGTCGACGTCCTCACGGTCCTCGTCGTAGTGATGCCTTCGTCGACGGGGCTGTCTGGTGAGATCCATGTTGGCATCCTCGTCGTCGTCTTGCAAAAAGGCCGCAGGCATCCGGCGGCGGCGGGCAAGCTCCCGGTCCCGCTTGTTCAGACGGGCCTCCAGCTGTCGACGGGCACCAATGTCGAGCTCCTCCTGCTCCTCGTCGTCAATGTAGTCGCCCTCGTATCGCTGAGGGCGGTCGAGGTCTCGGTAATCTCGCTCGAAGTTGTCGCCGAAGAGGTCAATGCCATCCTCGTCCTCTGCCATTTCATCGATATCATCGATGTCACCCGCAAACTCCTCAGCCTCATCTCGGTCGAGCTCATCGTCAAATGGAAGCATCGGAGGGGATGAGGGCGGAGCTGTTGAATCAATCAGTAGATCTTCACGCAGCAGATCAGAATGTAGACATACGGCTTGATGGGGGTGCGACCGACGACGACTCATCATCAGGCTCTCTGGATCTCTTGCGGCGGGTCAAGTTACCCAGGCCGCGATTCCCAGCAGAGTCGCTGGGACGGAGAGGAGAACTGGATGGCATCAGTTATCCTGTCTGAGATAAAAACCTGGTTCGGTTGTAGATCTCACCTCATGGTGGTCTTTTGTCTTCGATCACAATATGAATTTTAAACCATTACAAGAAAAAGAAAACAAGAGAAAGCGCAACGACCAAACGATATGCGAAGGAAGGCCGCAGGAAGGACACTGGCGTTGCACAAATTTGGAGGAGCGCTGCTTTCCGACTGAAGGGAGCGAACTTGCAGATTGCAGCGGGTTTGGTGTGGTCCCTCTTGGACGCGTCCGAGGCGCGAGACGCGTCGTGGACGCTTTTCAATTAATCCCAATCGGGAAAGGCAGCAGCCGGCCACAGCATCATGGGCTGGGCCAACAAATTATTTAAGCCTCACTTGACTATGCAGTATCACTTTCATTCATCTCTAAATTTTCAGTCATCTTCACGATGGGGAAGAAGTACTTTGAAGGACAGACATAACAGTAAGCTCTGCTTGCTGAGCACGTCTGCTCACTGTGCACGCTGCATAGGCGATGGATACTCCATGTCTAGAGAAATATTCCTGTAAGAGTGTCTTCTATTTCAAAGAATTATTTCATCTAGATAGTTAGACTGTAATCTGTAATCTGTACATGGCATAGAGGTACAGAGTACTCCGTAGAACTCGCTGCGTTGACGCTGTCTCAACAAACAAAGCAAACATTCAATTAAGGTGTTTCGCGCCTCGCGTCGTTCCGCGCGCCGGCTGTGAGCGGAGCGGAGGTGCCTCCATGCTCATCAATCAGCTCATCATCAACCTGCGATCTTTCATCCAAGCCTTGGCTCCATGTTTGAAAAGCGTCAATAATTAACCATTGCAATGGATCCTCCAGCTGTCGCCGACCATTCCAGCGAGGCCCAGAATAAGGGTCCTGACCACAACAACAAGAGCAGTCGCCGTCGGGAGAGTTTCGCCTCGCAGGATTCACAGACGGCAGAAGAGTATGTCGATCGCATTTCGTTCGTCCTTTCTTGTCCATGAAATGGTTTGCTGACCGGATTTGAATATTCCAGGTTCATCGATTCGCAGTTGAAGCTCGAAGCCGATGCGCGAGAAGTCCTGCCCTATGTAAGCGACCAGATTATCATAATAAATAAACAGTATTAAAATGCGAACCTGATGACTGATTGATGTAGTCCTTCGACTCATGCACACAACCATTAGGTCCTCTCCGACAGACGCTTTTTTCCTGCTTGACCTGCAATCCGCCTCCCGAAAACCCCGACGAGCCGTACACAGCCGCCGGGGTGTGCTATTCATGCTCCATCTCCTGCCATGGCGAGCACAACTTAGTCGAGCTGTTCAGCAAGAGGAATTTCGTATGCGATTGCGGCACTTCGCGCCTGCCATCGACGTCGCCGTGCACCCTGCGAAAGGACCCGGAGACGGGCGCTAAAGGGATGCATTCGCAGAAACCGGCAGAGGGCAACAAGTACAACCACAACTTCCGCAATCGGTTCTGCGGCTGCGGTGAGGAATACGATCCGCACAAGGAAAGGGACGATGTTTCAGTGCCTTGGTCTGGGGACTGTCGAGACAGGCGGCTGTGGGGAGGACTGGTGGCATCCGGAATGTCTCATCGGGCTCCCACGCGGGTGGCGGAAGGCTGCTAAGTCGGATGCAGCTAAGCATGAGGGAGAGAACGGTACCGCCGAGGAAGACGATGGAGAGGAGGACGATGAAGAAAGCCTTCCTCCGGGTTTCCCGGAAGAAGATGATTTCGAAACGTTCATTTGCTACAAATGCCTGGATTCCAATCCATGGTTGAAACGATACGCCAACACGCCGGGCTTCCTGCCTCCAGTTCACAAAGACGGAGGATTGCGTGGTCCAAAGGGTGCGGCTGAAGAGAAGCAAGAGCAATCTACGGGGTCACGAAAACGCAAGGCGGATGAAGCAGAAGATGAGCGCGACTCGAAGCGAGCAAAAGGTGACGAAACGAATGAAAATGAAAACGGAAATGAAAACGGACAAGTTAAGAAAAAGGAAGAGCCTGCAGATTCGACACCGCCAAAGCCCAAGCCCAAGCACGAATCACTACCCCGGGATGCTCCCACAGGAACATTCTCTCTCTTCGTCAAAGAAGACTTCCGCGAGCGCCTGTGCCACTGTCCAGAGTGCTTCCCGAACCTGATCCCCCACCCACAACTCCGCGAAGAGGAAGAAACATACGAACCACCTTTGTCGGAAGACGGCGACGCAGCAAACGGCAGCCAAGGCACCGGAAGTCTGCTTGAGAGGGGCGAAGCCGCACTGAGCAACATGGACCGCGTGAAAGCCATCGAGGGCGTGATGGTGTACAACCACCTGCGCGACAAAGTGAAGGAGTTCCTGAAACCCTTCGCCGAGAGCGGCAAACCCGTCAGCGCGGAGGACATCAAGGCGTATTTCGAGAAGCTGCGCGGCGATGACCTTGCGATTAAAGAAGCTGGCGGTCTAGCATCAGCGTTTGGAGGGGGACGATCTGACGACAACGGTGGTGGAGGAGAGGGCGACAACCGGAGAGAACAAAGTGGTAAGTAGTCAAGAATTTTCATTTTTTTTAAAAAAAATAAGAAAACGAGGCACCAGACTAACTCAGACAGGCTACTAGGCTACTAGCAAACTTCACTTCAGCTGACTGATATTCACCTTCACTGTTATGATGTAATCCTATCTTACACATGTACGAGTACGAGTTATGAAGGTTAAGGGAATTCTTTCTTTTTAATTTCGGGTGATAATTCAATTGTCGATTCTATTCCAATTCCAATTATGACTGGACGGGCGCAATCGCAATAACGATGCATGATGCACGGTGCACACCATAATAATAATGACAATAATGACACGGAAAGGCGGGAGGGACAAGGACAACAATATTAAGTTTCTTACTTTTTTTAAAAAAAAATGAGGTAATTTTTATTTCTTTCCTTTTTTTTTCTTTATTTTTTTATTCTTTTTATTCTTTTTAACTTCTCACGAAAGTCAGTCTCCTAATACTACCAGTAAATAAAGTAAAATAAATTGAATTGCAATGCTGAACAAGACACGATCGATTCTCTCTCGCTAACTTACTTCCAGAAGTAAGTAAATAAGTAACTAAGTAAATAACTATAAGTACTTGAAGTACTATAAGTACTATTCAAGACGATCAATCAAAGTCAAGTAGTCAAGGCAAGGCAAGACAAGAAAAGAAGAATACTTACTTATTTAGGCACTTACAGCTCAGCCCTAGCATGTATGAATGTACAGTACATACCTACATATATGTATGTACAGTACATTACTTAGTTCACATCTACCCAGGCCTAGTCCACAGACGCTGTACAGTACATACGCTGTACATACAACACTCTACGGAGTACATATCTCGTGGTCTTGTCGGTCGGGTCAGGTCCCGCCCGGTACCTGCCTAAGGTTAAGTGATTTTGATTCCGACTTGCTAGGTAAGTACGAATGCCTTACTCAGACCAGACAGACAACCGGGTTTGAAGTTGCAATCTAGCTGTATCTCACTTTGTTATAGGTATAGGTAAATCCGCGTATATATTAGGTTATGGTTATGCATATGTTATGTGTGTTCTTTCTTATTTGGACAATTGGACAATTGGACAATTGGACAATCAAACCTGAGAGCAGAGCAATTACAAAAACAGACAGACAGACAGACAAACAGACAGCAACGAGACTAGAGACTAAGCGAACGAGACTAAATAATGAACGCTAGACACACTGGGGAGTTACGCTTGGAAAAGGAAAAAAAAAGAAAATGTCAAGGAGAGACAGCCAAAAAAAAACTTGCAAACCCCTTTCACCCCAAAAGAAGTTCAGCTCAACTCATCCAACTCCAACCCATGCATGCAAGAATGAATTCAGCTCAAAGGTATCAACTCAACAAACCCGCTTCTCCCAAAAGACCCAACAGAATGCCAGTCGCTTGCAACATCATTTCAAGGTCGTGACACGTGACGAGCGTTAGTTATCTCTATGAATGATGATGATGAGTGGTGGTATATATTGGCTCGATTGCGAGAAAGCACCCAACAACTTGAATCCAAACTCGGAACGGATCGAGCGTGAACCCAGTCTTTTGAGAACGCCGGAAAACCCCCAAACCGTAAAACTCCTTGAGTAAGCAAGCAAAAAAAATCCCCAATGTCGCTAGTGTTGCAAAAGAGACGAGACGAATGAAATACTTCAGACGAAATGAAAGGAAATATAACTGCAGGAATGACAGCATGCACAGGCGGGGAGGATGAATAATAGATCAGAGAAAGAAAACAACAAATCCAAACAGACATGCTATGCTTTTGTGATGCAAACTTTCCAAAAACGACAAAACAAACGACATTGCACGACACGATATTCAATCTCGAAAAAACGACAGACACAAAATCAATCAGTTGTATGCGTTTGATATAGATATTTATCATATAATCTGCTGGGGCGGCCGCTAAAAACTGAACAGCCCACTTCGTTTCTTCCCCAACGGGTAAACGACCAAAGCAGCCAGGAACAGTCCCACCGTGATGCCAATGGCAACCTGGACCATTCCGTATCCAATGTCAAAGACCACCCCCCCGTAGAGCCGGGGGTTGGCTCCATACAGCGACATGTTCTGTTGCGCCTGCAGGAACCCTTCGGTGCCGTTGCTGATGATCGAGTAGAAGGATTGATTGCCCGTTATCTCGTCGGCCGACGTGATGCCCGACACCAACGAGCCACTGGCCGCCAGGCCCGACGGCACCTGCACAAAGATGGCAGGCAGGATCGCCGCCGCCGCGAGGCCGTGCCGGAGCCGACTGTAGAGATTGCCCATCACCCCGATAACAAAGGCACCTAGCGCGTTGGACACTTGCGTGTTGGAGTCGAATCGTTTCATCGAGAAGTAGTTGGTGATGTACCCGCACAGGGAGATGATCAGCATCATGGGCACCTGTCGCCATTTGGCTTGGTTGATGGTCGTGAGGCAGAACGTGAAGAGCACCACAAACGGGAAGCGTTGCAGATATTCGTTCCGAATCGGACTCGCCGGGCACGTGTAATCCGAGGAGGCATTCGCGTCCAGCAGACCATACACGGCCGTGCCGATCGTGATCCCAAACCCGAGGAAAAGAGAGTAGATGATGGCGTACACCATCCGCACCGAGCCAGCCACGATGCTGCGCGATTGCAGCTCCAAGCTACCACACAGCACCACATATCCCGGCAGGATGAGGGCGATGGAGGATTGGGCCAAGGCGGCGAAACAGAACAGACGACCCCCCTGGTAGGGGATGCTGCCAAAGGCTCGGGCGAGAAAGGACGTGAGCACGGCGGCCGAGATCTCAAAGACGTTCGCGTACAGATGCGACCGGGGCGACAGGACCAGCTGCAGGATGCCCACCAGACAGCCGAGTACGAAGGCAATCGGCATGTCGATGGGCCGCGCCCCAAAGGCAAAAGGGCCCACCGTGGCGCTCGCAAATCCATGCATGAGGATCTGCACCCAGATGCTGAACTTGGGCTTCCGCTTCATGACCTCGTCCAACTGCTGGATCGCTTCCTCGACGCCGATCACGTCGTGGACGACCTCCTTATAGATCTGATGGACATCCTTCAGCCGACCCAGATCGACGCCTTGGGAGGCTTTGACCAGCTTGACTTCGGTCGTGTGCGTGGAGGCATCGTCAAAGGAAATGATCATGCAGCCGGGGATGTACAAGAACTGGCCGTCGATTTCCAGCACGCGCGCCGTCATGCGCATATACTCCTCCAGCCGGTGAGTGGGCGCCCCGTACTTCATCAGGGCCCGGCAGAGCCGCATCAGATAGCGCTGCCGGGACAGAATCTCGGCGATGTGGACGGTGATCCGGATCTCATCTTCCAGATGGGGTTTCATCAGGCGCTTGGCCATCCCGGACAGGCCTCCGCTGCTCCGGGACCGTTTCAGGATGGGCCGCTGGCCGGTGGTGCTCGAAAACGAGTTTTTGGCACTGGTGCTGGCCAGCGAGGTGGCCGAGAGGTTGGGCGACTTGTCGTACCACTTCCGGGGTTTGGGAGGCTTGTTGTTGTTGTTGTTGTTGTTGGTCGCGGCGGAATCCCGACTCAGGGACCTCCCGCGGACGCTGCCTTCGCCCATGCTGCCCTTCCGGCTGTGATGGCCGCTGCCGAGGCCATGCTGGCCCGGGGGCAGCTCATACAGCTTGAGCAGGGTCGACAAGATGCCGCCCCGGTAGTGGGTGGGCGGAGCCACATGGGCATCCGGGTCGCGGTCTTCGATGGGCGTCACCTGTCCTGAACGTAATCCGGGAGAGGGAGCACGAATCCGGGACAGGGGATTGAACTCTCGTCGGGTCATTTGGCGGACGAGCTGGTGCGCTTCAGAGGTGTGGGTGGAACGTCGCCGGTGCCGCTCGTCGCTCTCCTCTAGCGGGCCCTCGTCATCGTCGTCGGTCGAGTCGTCGAACTGTTTCTCCGGAAGAGTGATCAGAGGGATCTCATCACCATCTTCGAAGAGAGCGCACTCGGTGGGTGTGGAGGCAACAGAGGACGGCACACTGGAGAGAGGGCTCGGCCGGGGGGATTTGGAGGTGGAGGAACGACCGAGCTGGGAGGCCAGGCGTTGCGCGCGCTCTTGGGCGGAGTGGATCGCTCTGCCTTTCTCATCGCCGATCTCATTGTCGAGATCCTCGTCCCGGACCCCCGGGGAGCTGGCTCTCGAGTGCAGGGTGGATCCGGTGACATCGGAGGACGCGTTGAAGCCCTCATCGGTCAAGGGCGGGGGCAGGACTGAGCTTCTGCCCAGTTTATCGGCGTATGGAATGCGGACGGTGGGCGCGGGCCTCTGGGGAAGCAGGCCGCCTTCACCTGACGTCGAGCGGGCGCCCTGTTGCCCATCATCGGACTCAGGCTCGTTGACGGTGAACTTGACGCGATTCGCGGCTTTCAGTATGCCCGCATTCCGTGGCTTGCTCTGCGCGCCCCCTGGCCCCGGAGCGCGATCAGAGGGGACGCTCTCATTGGGCGTGGGCAAGGGCGATGTATGTAAGCTCGAGGATCTGCTCGAATCGACCAGAGGGTCTGTTGCACTTGAGCCCTGGTGGCTGTTACTTGTATGCTGGGGGTTGGTAGAGGGCAGCGGAAGATCGAAATAGCCGCCCGCCATCTCTCAGACCGGAGGTGGACACTCGTGTCGATCTTGCAGATTCCAGGGAAGCAGCGGGCCTCCGCGAGTGATTGGCGAGGGGCGAGGGGGGGGGATCTGTTGTGGAAGTGAGAGCGAGAGAGGTCAGTGGAATGTAGCCCGGCAACGGTCAGCAATGTTGCATCACCGCTTCGCACTCAAGGCTCAGGGCGACCGTCACCGCACAGAAGAAAAAGGTTATAATGAGGCGAGAAGAAAGCAAGTTCCGGTGGCCCAACAGTTTTTGTAAATCTAATCTGACTCGAGCTCGGCTGCAGCGGGACGTTGTGCAGCGGCCGGTCTGGAGGGTCGCGGTACACAGACGCTGATGGGGATGGCCACTACCGAGGATACGTCATGGAGTGCATATAAGCAGAAGCAGGGCCCTGCTGGGAGCTGGAGAGCCTAGGCGTGTGGTGCTGTCTGGAGATGAAGCGGTATGGCAGCGTGGATGCCGATGCAGCGAGGATAGATGGACAGTGCGGTGGTAGTGCAGTGCACCTAACAGGGAAGGCAATCTGGGGTAGAGAAGGGATTGCACAAAGCACCAGGATGGCCGAGAAAAGAGCGACGCGAACGAGAGGCAGTCGATCAAGGAGACACAAGCGACGGCCAGGATCGAGGCGCGCGGCAGCAGAGATTGCACGATCTCGCAGCTGCTATCCGGCAGCGGGCGTGCACAGAGGCAGCAACGGGCCTGGGCGAACCTGGCCAGCGCAGGAGAAGGGAAGCAGAGCCGCGAACGGAAGCAGACAGGCACATGAATGAATGAATCGAGCGCATATTAATAAATATTGAAGGCGACGCAGCGGCCGATCCATGCTGGCAGCGCGATGTGCGTCGAGCGGGTCACACCCTGCCCAAGGCCCCTCCTCCCCTTTCTGCTTTGTCGCCTGAGCTCTCCCCGTCCGCGCAATTCGAGCAAAGAAATGGGGTCCGTGAGCCTTGCATCCTGGGCTGACGGTTTCAGCATCTGGCATGACCCAGTGCACGGCCTCCTGACGGGCAGTCCTCGTGGGCCGCGATGGCGGTGGAGGGAGCTTACTCGAGGATGCTGGGGACGGTGTGGCGAATGGAGGGCTCCACGGCGAGTCACACCAGATGGCAGCTGCCCATGCCAGGCTGGAAGTAAGTTAATTTTTTTTTGTTGCTTTTGATATCAGCCCGACCGAGAGAGGTCGACCCCGCCGGCCCGAGAAGACGAAGAACAGTCTGGATTTTCGGGATGGCGCTGCCCGGCGGCGGTGGAGACGCTCCAAGCTTAGAGGATCCATCGCGCGTTTAGCTTAACTGATGCCTCGAAAGGAGACCATCCAGAACGTGCTTGTGTCTCGCCATTATTAGGTACACCGTACAGTAAATTAAAATAAAGTCATGATGTCTGCGAGCTAGTGTCGCCAGCTCTCTCTACCAAGATAAGCCATCCGATGACCAGGACAATCACACAGCCCACTACTATAGACACATTCTGTACACACGCACTGATCGACCACAGGGATAGCACTCCGGAGCAAGGGAAATATCTTCAGGCATTTTCTGTCGATGAAACGACCCGATTACGTGTCGAGTGGGTGTCGAAATGGGACATGCTGAAGAGTCGTCCGTCCTGACATCAACATGCCTGTCCCTGGACTCCTGATCAGCATGTGAATCCGGCGCGACTATCAGTCCTCCCTTTCTGCACATGTCACTGCAATGCACGGGCCATCGCATGCAGCCTGGTCGGGCCGCCCGAAAAGGGAGATGCCGGTAGCAGGGAGTGAGCATGCATTGCAGCAGCACTCGGCATATTATTTGTTGATAATAACTGCTGCATGCAGTAGATACAGACCACGAGGGTGCTGGCTGTTAGCGTGTGTCTCACCGTCTATTTCTTTTTTTTTCCTTTTTTTTCCAGGTCGCGGCGAACAGCCCTGGCCTGTGGAAATAGCAAGCTGATAGATCGGCAGGCAACCCTAAGCTCGGCACTCCCGCCACTCTGGGTCTCTGCCGATCGTCTCGCCCTAACGGCGGCTCTCCCGGCCCGGCGCCGGCCATTGGGCAGGCAGAAAATAGAACTGAACTGCTTGCTGCACGCCGCTGATCGGGGAATTTCCCGGCCCACCACACTATCCAGCAATAGCCGCTGCCCAGCGCTAATAATGCTCGCTCTCGATATCTTTTTTTCCTTCTTGATTCAGTCGATCCCATCCTGTCATCCTCGCCCAGAATGATTCCATCCTCCGGGCACCCCCTGGCACGAATCGCCACGGTCTGACGGGGGAAAAAAGAGAATGGAGAACAGTGACCACCAGCGTAGCATTGTCCAGCCAAATAAATAAATAAGACGGTTAGGCGCGCCTGCCATTGGCTGTCGCACGAGTCAGGCGAATGGCCCAGCGCGTCTCCCGCTGATATATTTCCTGCCGGGTGGAGAACGGCGGTTACGCAACGACTGAAGTATCAAGTCACCTCCGCTGCTCCCGTATGCGTCCCGGTTTCCGGTACAACATCACCGCTGGCCCTACGGGTATGACCACGCCGGGCCAGTCGCTGGGTTGTCAAAGTCGCCTCCCCCGTTTCGTCAGAGGCATTGCATTGGGTCCGTCTGGAGTATCGCCAGTGTACAGTCCACAGTCCTCCGTATCCAACGCCATATCGTCGTCTCCACCCTTCTGGCAGGGATGAAGATAGCTGATGGACTGTGGCCCAGATACGATAGACGGCCATGGCATGTCCTCGATCATGAAAAAACCATTGGCCATGATACCTACTGTGACCCTGTGAGTGAGTGCGCCTTGCATGCTTCATCACCTCAAGGCCCACCCACACACATGCATGAGTGCATACTGATACTACCCCCACGCACAGAGACGTGACAGCAGCGCAGTCAGCAGTGGCTTCTCCAGAGGAAGCAGCAATAAATCACCGTCACAAGGATAAGCCACATCCTGCGATGGAGTTGCGAGTGTAGGATCAAAGCGCCCCCGGCTCATGAGTCACGGACTCGAGTGACACTCATTTCACGCACACGACCAATACGAAATTGCCATCCAGGGCATCCGTTCAGCACGGAAGGCAGCTACATGCCTGTGACCGGAAGTCTCGAGTCGCATGGCCAAGAGAGTTTTGTGGGGGCTGCAGATACTCGAGCCTTCTCTGGTGTCTCGTCCTCTCACCATCCCCAGCTGAAGAGCCATGTTGTACGAGTCTCCCCGATGTCAATGTATTGCACCCGATGGACACAGATTGCGGGGATTCTTGTCCCTCACGAGACGTAAGACGTGCAGTGTCCCAGATCACGTCGTAAAAAGACTCCATTTTCGGCATCCGGGACGACTGGATGGAGTAAAAGATGGCGAGCCTATCACGGTATCAAGAGCTAAAATTTCTCAACCACGGGACAAAGCTCGTCGACGCCAAGCAGCAGGTCGATAACGGCAATCGTCAGCTCGTGACAGTGGCCACCGCAATCTGCCAGATGACTCCTGAAGTCGCTCCAGACCGCTTCGATCCGTCACGCTTGATAGCTAGCGGCTTCAGTGACCTGTGATCCGTACGACATGTTCTGTTGAGGACCCATGCGATTGGCGCAAAGCCGAGATAGAGTAGAGGGCGATCTGGATCCTGGATGTCTGCCCAACGACCCAGGCTCCAGCCCGTCGCGAGACCCACTCGCCGAATTGCTCAGAGATAACGCAAAACGACGGCTTGACGGGTGATGGCGCCTCATAACCTACCTTCCCGCCGCAATGCGCGCGACGCAGGCCCGGGACCGAGCTAGGATCCTAACTTTAGCTCCGAGCATGTGCTTTAGCCTTTAGTACAGATAGCTGTAGTGATAAAGGAAGAGAGAAAAAAAACAAAGAAAATAAAAGGAAGCGGCAACGGGATTCTCAACCCGTTGTTGATGATCCACAATTCTTACCACGCACAACACTAGGCAAGAAAACCTCCCGCGAAACAACGGGAAAAAAAAGCTAAAAAGTCGCTGACGGCCGCACTTCTAGACTCTCATCTTAAATCCTCACCGCAAGCTAAAACAGAGGCGGTCAGCATCATGTGAACCCAAAAGGAGAAAAAAAATTTTTAAAGGGGGAAGAAGAGAAGAATTCCTCGATTAGGAAAATGGCTAGAAGGGTCTTTTTAGCGTCTAATTTAAGGCCGCATCCTAGCTTGCTTCGGCTGCACAGCCCGTCGGGGCCCTGCAGGTTGTAAAGAGCAAGCGTTATTAGCTGCCGTTCCAGGCCCCGGCTTCCGAGCCGACTGAACCGGGAGTGAGCTCGCAAGAACCATCATTTTATTCTCATCGTGGTGACACGCTGTGAGACTCTTGTCCTCCCAGAGTCAGGGCATGGACCCCCAGATCTGGGATAGCCACCGTCACAGCCGCCCACGGACCGTTTCTTGTCCAGGAATGGCAGGTCCATGTGGAACCTAACTCTGGCACACAAGATCCCCAGTCGAGGTACTCGAGGTACCATTTCAACGCCTTCAGATCAAATCATTGATACAAAGGACTCGTCCAGTGACGTTGACATACACCCACGCGCGGGTTACATGTTATTAGCTGTATAATATCCATGTCGTCACAAGAGTCTGGCGAGAAAACGGGTTCAGAGAGCTTTCGGGTGGAAAGCTGGAGATACTGATGATGACAAGTTGACAGCATTCATCCAGGGATTCCAGGTAACGTTCAGGGTTCAGCAGGTCATAACAGGAAGATTGCCAATCTCTCCTGCCACATTATTGCTCGGAAAGTCTCCTACAAGGCCCAATGCAGCAACACTGCTGAGAAAACAACCTCCCGGTGGAGTAAAAGGAAGATACTGGAAAGAAGAAGCAGCAGAAGGTACCAACAATTTCCTGGAAAAGAGAGCATACCGCAACCCTCGACCAAGAATTTGTTTATGGCTGCTGACTGCTTAGCATAGCCTTTATCCTTACTCGTCAATGGAGGCCAGCCTGTGGTATCCAGGCATGTCACTGTTATTCCGACCAATGAAGTCATTCTCTTGTCGATGACTTCACTGCCAGAGAAGTGAAAGTGAAATCGCCCTTGGAAGATTCCATGATCGTTCCTTGCTGGACTTGGGGACGTGGGCAATCTCGGTTCCCTCGGTAAAGGCAATGAATGAATTATTGGACCCGCAATATCGGTCTCTCTCCCAGACAGTTAAAGTCTCAGGGATGATGATCTGCTGATCGCCTGTTACTTATAATCTCCACATTAGAGCCTCGACAAAGCAACTATTGAGTGCTGGTCCATACTAGAGCCGTAAATCCTCACAGGTTGTTCACCCAGCCAATCATCTTGAACAACCAGCACTGTAATTGATCGAATATGCGAAACGTTTCTGGTTTCTGGGAGAGTGGAAACCGTGACGACCTGCTCATTAGAGATGGCAATCCTTTATAGTGAGTAGGCATCGTCGTTTGTGTGACTAGGTCATCTACCAGTACGAAGTAATCGAGGGCATACTCATTGAGGTATGTGCGCGTGTGTATACTCCGTATGTGCGTCATTGAATGCAATGTCAGATGTTTCACGTTCCTTTTTTTTTCGTGTTTTCCTCGGTTGGATTACTACCTCGTGCACAATACGGAGTACACTCCCGGATGAGATACGGGGAAAGAGACGCGTAATCCAACTGGCAAAACCTTGCATATAAGATTAACGATCGTATGCACAGTCGATTCGGGAAAAAGGAATCCCATTCACAACGACAGCACATAGCGTAAGCAAGGTGTGCATTATTATGGGGAGTTATGCTGATGGATCCGACAAGGCAAGTTTGGTCTCCACAACAGGACCCAGTAGTACGGAGGATGGCCAAGCCATGGCGTTCTTGATCGACAGGGGATCACATCTGGCGGGTCCTATAAAAAATGGGTACATCATCAATACGGAGTAACAGTGTGTTTGCGAGTGATTGCCAAAAAAAAACGAACGAGATGTCAACTCCAGCGGTGTTGAAGACGAAGTGGCTGGCTGGCGTGGAATGAGGATGGCTCTTACCTGACTGTCACTGACAAGCTGGGGTGGTTGAGATGGGTTCCTCAACGCTAAGATATCGATTCGATGTCCATCACTTTCCTTCATTCACCTCGACACGTAGGCATCCTTTGTGGACCTGAACTGAAACCAAGCTGCGATCTTGCTAACCTTCGAATCACCTAGAGCTAAGATCAACGACAGTTGGTAGACCAATAAACTGTGTCTGAAAGTAATTGCCATTCTCTCCCATGAAATATTAAGTAAGACATGGATCACTCAGATTGATCCAAGTGAAGGAAGTTAAAGTGAAATTGATTGTATTGGCTGGATGACGGCTTCGGGAAGTTACTCCGTAGGTACCTAAGGTAGCTGCTGCAGGCAGGAGCAACCTTCGTATTCCCGTGACCATGGAGTTCTTTAGTAAAATAAAAAAAAGGCAAAAAAAAAACACCTTTTTCTTCGGGTATCCTTATGGGATACAGATCTTCGCAGATAAGTTCTCCTACGTATTGAACAAAAAAAAGCTCATATCTGGGTATGTACAGTATATCTGCGTCACTTGAGATCGCTACTCGGATATATATATCTACAAGGGTAAACACGTAAACCGTAGGATCGATGTAGCAAACACTGTTCTTTATATTTTCTTTTTTCGTAGAAGAAAAAAAAAGGCAAGGAATGAAAATAAGCATATCATCCACACCTATTAAAAAATTAAAAAGATATACATCCACTGTCTATACAGTCAACAACAGGAAATTTACCCATACCCATATACTTATACGAGTACTATTCTTTCTAAAAAACGACGAACATAAAGCCAGTCAGTCCGCTAATGATTGAACAAATGCTCAAAGTTCCTTAGAGCTTTCATTAAAGCTATTGATATTGATTCAATCAGCCTATCCTATCATACCATCGTCATCGATCGATCGCCCCGTCCGTCGACTCCAATAATCCAGCTTAATATCCAGCTTAATTCAGAAGAAGGAACAAAAAACACAAAAGTGACAAAACGAAAACACAAAAAACTCCAACGCCCAGCTTTTCAGAAAACGAGAGAGCTTTAAGAAGGAGGAGAAGGAGGAATATTTCCCAAGAAGAAGAAGCAAAGCAACACAATGCAAGGAACAAGAAACCACGGCATGGTTTCTGGTATCACAAACAAACAGAAACAGAAACATTGACATTATAGCATGGTAATACATAAAATCCATCTCATCTCCGCTCGACACGGCTCAGTGCACCAAGAACAAGGCCAATATCCTCCCTTCGTTGTCTCTCTTGTCGTATTCGTAACCGATTCTTGTTGTTACCTGTGCCAGAACCTTCTCCTCCGCCACCACTGTCGTCTTGGTTTTCTCCTTCAATCTCCAACGTCCTCAGTGTATTCCGGGCATCCCGTTCTTCCAATCGTTGTGAGCAGATACGTAAGATCCGAGAAGATACGTCATCTGCTGCGGCTCGGTAGATTTCTATGTCGTGGATTCCAGAAGCAAATGAATCGAGGGTCGGTGCCAATGATGTGGTGATGCGGGACAGGCGTGAGGAGACTGCAGCCGGTGAGATAGGTGGTAGATTGGCGGTGGTGGTGGCGGAAGGAAGGGAAGATGACTCCTGTTTCTGGTTGTCATCTATACGGAGATTGTCAAGACCGATCGACGCGAGAAGTGACTGTTGCGAAGGATCTAGTACGGATGCATCAATGGTTTCAGGACCTTGCGGTACTGCCTCAGCCGAAGACTGGGCCTCTGTTTTCTCTGCCTGCTGTTCTGGAGGTGTCGGTCCCGACCCTGAAGTATCGTAGCGTGGAATTGAAGGAGGTCGTAGGAGGGCGTTGAGAGCAGCTCTTTCATTTTGTAGTCTTTAAAATGCAGACCAATCAGTAAAGGTTCCAGTTCACAATCGGCCTGTAACATACCGTTGTATTTGTTCCTCGAGTTCTTTGATCTTCTCGGCATTCTGAATGTTCTTCGGATTGGGTTTCTTGACAACCACAGCAGGAGGCTCTGCGTCCTCTCGTGAAAACCAGTCGGAGAGTTCGGACTTGTTCGCAAAGTCCTGAAGCAGCTCTTCCTGGATGACGCGGGCTGCGAAAATAAATCAGTCTTCTCCACGCTAAATTTCAGACTTTCAGCAAACTCACCGGCCAATCTGGCGCTGTCATCGTCGGACCGCGACCCAGATGGTTTGTCACCCATTGCCCGTGTCGCACACCACGTCAATAACACTTTCATCCGTCGAGGCTCGGATAGACCCTCGCTTGCGATGTGTTTGTAAAAGTCCGAAGTGTCTACCTCCTTATGAGGTACCGCTGTACGAAAAGCATCAGCACCCCGCTCAGTTTCAGGGCTGGGAGATTTCTGCGGAAGAATTTCCCCACCGTTGGACGCGCCCGAGTCTATCAGGGAACTGGCTCGCCGTCCCCTCATTCCTAGACTGCTCCGTCTTTGACCCTTTCCTGCTCGCTCCTCCCTCATCTCCTTATTTCGACGAATGACAGGAGTATCCGCAAATGGCAACGCGATCTTGGACGTTCCAGGCTGCGTGGGTTCGGGTGATAAAAACCCATTCGCATCGACTGCCTTTGATTTGCTCGGTCTGCCTTTCTTTCGTGGCATTTCCATGGGAAACGGGCTTTCCTCATCCCGCGCCCGAGTCGAACGATGACTTATCTCTGGCTCGGTCTGCAGTTCAGTAGAGACTCTTTTTGGACGTCCGCGTGATGGCTTCCCAGACGCAGCTCCATTTGCGCCTGCATCCTCCCCGCCAGACGCTTTGTTCGATTTCGTTTTCGGTGGTCGTCCTCTCTTAGGCGACTGATGCTGAACAGGTTCTTCCACAATGGGCTCCGGCACGGAAACTTCTTCTCCGCTTGACGGTTTTGGTTTCTTTGAGCTTGCAAATTTAAATTGGAAACCCTCAACGTCCTCGTCATAAGCTACCAGAGAAAAATATTAAACGAGTTAGTAAAAGCGAGGCATATTTGGACATAACCCATTTCCGAGGTTGCCATAGATTAAATAGTGCCGAGCGAAAATAGTCACATACCTGCTTTTCTTTTCTTCTCAGCAGCCCGCGAGGTTTGTTCCTGTGCTGCTGTCGTGTTGTTGACAGTCTTGCCCTCATCACCACCATCATCTTTTGCATTCAGGCGTGCGCTCGTCCGCCTGCCTCGTCCTTTCCCCCCAGTGTTTGCTGCAGACGACGACGCATGGCGCGACCGCGCCTGCGACGCCGCCATATTAATAGCTTTCAGAGGCTCACGACGCGTGGTCCTTGTCGTTGGAGGTGTGAGGACCGCGATGGTCATGTCAGGTGATGGAACGAAGCAGAGCCGGCGATGAAAGGATCACCCCGCGGACAATTCACCGATTTCTCAACAGGCTCTGCGAGACGTAGGACACGATCAGATCCCATGCGACACGTAACAAGCGTTGTCGTTGCGGTCGCAAATGTGTTCGGCGAGCGATTCGCAGCTGCCGCAGCCCCTCGATCCCACACCGCGTCGTACGATGGTAAGGGGGGTTGATAATCCAATAACAGCCTCCTTATCTAAACGTGCCCTTCTTCTTGTTGCCGGTAAGACCCTCTGATTGATTGCAGAATCCTGTCGCTGTCGTGGTGGTGGTGCAATCGGTCATCCGTCAGGTCGCAGTCTTGGGGAATTCGGAGAGAACGTGACTTGGGCGGTCGACGGGTCGCGCTTCGGACGGGACGCGACTACAATCCTTTTTTTCCCTCGGGACAGACGCACGCCAGCGATCCGCCGTAACCCCAAGTCGCCGCGATTGTGGCGTCCTCTGCGGCGGATTCACGCAATTGCTGCGCGCTGAGACTTGTGAAGACACGAGGGCTCAATCATTTCTCCGTTGAAGTCGCTGCACGCCGTTGTTTTGGGTCGTGGCGCGTGTGGGGATCGCGCTAGTCCGTTTCGGGCTGAGGAGGGGGAAGCCAGTTCATCAATAAGGATATTCCTCTGCAAAGCGAGGACGAGCGCTTTTATTGATGAGCACAAGGTAGAACTAGTCTTACTGCGACATAATTGCTTGTACTACCACCAGTAATTAATACCATTGGGCCTAGGTGCTCCTCTTTGTGGCCCTGTTTGGGGAAGGATGATTGATTGACCTGCAAGAAAGGAAGATGCAGGGCAATATCTATACTTGACACCTCACATGTCACTATATATAGGTCATCACAAAATGTGCTCAGTTCAAATGCGCCTATACATGAAAGAGTAAGTAGAATCTACATCGTAGGATAACTGATCCCTTCGAAGACTACGTAAAATCCACAGATCCGCCTATGCGTCTATTTATGCATCCGTCTGACGTGGTGGCGCCAGGTTGCCTGAAATTCTTCGTTTCGCTTCTTGTTTCTCCTCCAGCGAAATATGCTCTGGTTTCTTCTGCGTCTCGGGTTCAAATTGTGGCTCGTCGGGGCTGTGGCCAATGGACATGCCTACCCGAATCTGCAGTGGCGAACAACGCAAGTTAGAGAGGCATGCCGGCAAACACAAGGAGGACGATTCACTCACCAATGTTTCCAGGGCACTCTTGGAGTTATCAACCAGGTCGCTGTCAAAGTTGATCATCCCGGGCTCAAATAGCAAGAGAACAGTGCTACCGCCGAACTTGAAGTACCCGAGCTCTTCGGTACGCGTTACCTTCTCGCCAGCCTGACGGGTAATAACTGTACTGCCGACCATCATGGCACCCACACAGATGACCATGACCCGGCCGTGTGCGACTGAATCAATGGGGACCAAGACCCGGACGTTTTCACCGTATACATCCAGTGCGGAGCGGATGGCCATCGGGTTCACCGTGTAATACTCCCCTTCAATCGTTTTCGGCGTGCCCAGGACCCCGTCCACGGGGATGTGAAACCGGTGGTAGTCCTGCGGGGCCAGACGGAAGATTCCGAGAGCTCCGTTCTTATATCGTTTCACATCTTCAGGGTAAGCTGTCCCCAGCAATCTCTCTATGGAGAATTCTCTTCCCTTGACCCAGATCTTTGTAGCGTCATCGATGCGATCAAATACCACGGTTCGGCAGTCGGCGGGGGAAACGACAATCTTGGGGTTGTCCGGAGCGGCACATGGTCGTGAGCCTGGCTTCAGCTTCCGGTAGAAAAATTCATTGAAGGTCTTGAACTCTTCTACAGGAAGCAAGACTTCAGACATGTCCAGTCGATGGAAATTGATGAAACCTTCGATCTGACTGGCAGACGAAGGATCATCGTATTTCCGGCCCTGCTTAATACTCAGGGACTTGAGCAACTTCCGGACTGTAATAATGTCAGTGGACAAACCAAAGAAAAAGTCATTTCGTATAGCTCACTTCGTTTCTTCTCCATCTCCCGACTCTTGAGACCTTTGTAGAGCAGGCGGATCCCAAGACGAACGTAGACACTCATCCGTTCCTCGTTAATCTGTCCAGTGATCCGATCCTGAACGAGAATATTGGCAGAATTCGCGCCCAGCCGGTAACCGCCATAAGAGATCTTTGTGATCACTTTGGTGTACCACTTCCGCTGAGCTTGACTAGATGTCACGAACCCACCCATGACGAGATTGTCCACCTGTCTCCAATCGTGACTGGCGCAAGTTGCGAGATGCGTAATGATATCCGCATCGGAGCGTTTGGCGAGCCGAGGTTGATGGCACAGAGGACATTCTCCGATTTCAATGACGTGTTCTTCACCGCTCTCATCAATGAGATCATCAGGCGCGAGATCTTCATCCCCAGCCGTCGGTTGTTCCGCTTCCGAGAGAGTGGGCACTTCAGTTTTTTGAGGATCAACATTCGATGGGAGGGAATCAGTTGTTTCCGCGGTAATATCCCCACGACTGGATGGGTCTGGACTCCCGCTGCCTCCTGCTGACGAGACAGAACTTGGCGCGGCGTTGTGGATCTTGGATCCAATATTTCCGAAACTCTTCTTCTGTATCGCCTGCAGTGCATCCTCCAAACAGATCACGGCCTGGTCGTAGGTCAGATCAGTCGTCTCGCCGGATTGGTTCTCAGAGGCGAATCTCTTGAAAAAGCCATCAATGGTGGAATCTTTCAGCGTGGAGCCAAGCGTGTCGAGCATGGTCGTCAGTTCAATCTTGCTGATGCGACCGCTATCATCAGTGTCATACTGTTTCAGCATGACCCTCCAAAATTGTTGGCGCAGCGCCCTGTAGGGCATGTATTTGGCCTTTACATAGAGCTCCGGGGCATGCTTGTCCTCCCAACGCTCCTTGTTCTTCAACAGAAGGGGGATTCGATAAACTTTAAGATCATCGTCATCTGAACTGTCCTGAGTGGGAGAGGTGACTTCGTCACTCGCGGCTCCCGGGGCGGTCAATAAGGAATTGCTGGGATCAGTAGGAACACCGCTGGGAGGAGGAGTCGGGGGTTGTTGCTCGGACACCACCTGACTGGACAGGGATGTATTCGAGGTCCTGGGTCTCAACGTAGGTTTGGGGATCTTGGACAAGCTCGTCCCCGACGTAGAACGAGACATTGGTAGTCGAAACCGTGGTTTCGAGGCGGGAGGGTTCCGAGCAACGGCCGACGGCTCTTGAAGCTTGTAGAGACCAGTCTCCGGATCCGCCTCCGGGGCGGCCGCAATGAGGGTTTGTAACGGGAAGTCGGCTGTCGCGACGAGGTCATTGCCTGACAGCTTGTCTCGGTCCATTACCGTGAAACTGATCGTGTAGTTTTGTTCGTGTTTCATCACCTGGAACACCATTTTCTCGTCGAATACCGGGTTCAAGTTGTGCCGGATGACTCGTGTTCGGAGCGTTTTCCTCCCCAGAGACGTCACGACGAATGGATCCATATCAAATGACGTCCTGGTCACTACGAGCAGTTAGTTGCCGACTGTCATATTCAGCATGACACGGTCTTCATACCGTTCCTCTCCGGAGGGAGGTCCGTGATTTTGGAGATCTCCATAAACACAATACCCTCGACACCATTTCCGGCTCCGGAGAACTGATAAGCCCGTGCGGCAAGAGATTTACGTTTTAATCGCGCAATACGAAGCCGTCGCTTGCGCTTCTCCACCACTTCGGGTTTTGTAGGATCATCAGTCTCATCCGACGTTTCGTCATCTTTATCGAGGTCTTCGTGTTCAACGTGCGAGAGCGACTCATCCTCCTCCCCGGCGCATACTATGGATCGAAATTTCCGGTACGTATCCTGTGGTGAGGCTGTCGGATTGGATGGATCGTAGAGAGAGAATTGGAGGAGGATCTCGCCAGACACGACGCTCTCCTTTTTCCTGCCCGGCCTTCGTTTCGATAGGAGTGTGTACCATTTTGGCTGTCGCAATGATCAGCTCGATGAATCGTCATAGAGCCGGGGAAATGAGGAGCAGGGTGTACCTGCTGATGGATTTCTCCATCCGCGAAAATCTCCTCCAGCGGGATGTCGAATTCCCCCAGGTAGTCTCTCCCAATTCTGTCATGGTCCCAGCAAACGCATTCCAGCAGCGGCACCCCGACCACGGGCAGTTCGAACGTTACGTTCCAATCCGGGTTGAGGGTTTTGCTGATGGTCGGCGTCGACTCGCGCGCATTCCCCAGGGTCACCACTAAATACTGAAAAATGACCGTAAGCACTTCGATGAACGAAACAAACTGGCCAACCGTGCGAGATCCATCCTGGATGTCGCGGAGGGACTCACTGGATCGCTTGTGCCCCCTCTGTCCTTCGCCGCAAGACCCCTTCCCTAGTCACGGATCGACGTTAGCCAGCGAATTCAGCCACCCAGCCTCACGCCATGGGCCATGCTCTGCTCACCTTGATCACTGTCGTCCTCAAAATCAGGGTATTCTCGGCCTGGTTTCTCATGGGGCTGGTACTTCGACTCTGCTGGGTGGACGAGGTGCTCTTGGAGCTGATGAAGCGTGGCGGCAGGGGAAGGCGGACCATTGTGAAGGAATCGGGATGCGGGGTAAGCCAGCAGGAGCAAGCAGTGGCAGCGAATTGGACCAGGGCGATTGTCTCAGCACCCTAGACACAAACCTTGCTCTATCAGGCTTGACGAGCAAGGGAAAATGGGCTTCTAACTGGCCGGGGAGAGGGGTACAAACCGGGTACCTCTTGATCCTGTCGCGCGGTCGCTTAAGAAACGACGATTTTCGAGGACTTCGGCAAAATGTGGGGAGATCAGAGATCACGGGCAGGACCTGGACGTCGAGATGCTCCGAAATCGATCCTGGCAGGATCCCATCAAGCGATTAGAAAGCTGTCTGGGCGAGGAGTGAGGGAGGAACGGACTAGGTCGACAGCAATTGGGACAGCATCTTGGGACGAGAGGCTGAACAGGGCAGTGGGAACGTTGACGTCTGCTAAGGATAATACCATCGAGGCATACGCCACAAGTGTCTTATTCAATTGTTCTCGTTGTTGGTATTCTTAGCTAGTGTTACTCTCTGATTGATGGAGGACCCAGGCAGATATGCTCCTGGCGGGTCCCGGGGCGATCGATGGGCTGAAGCAGGGCAAACAGCATCATCGTCGGCTGCGGAACCAGCGGGAAACAGATCGTCCTGACAAGCTACGTCAGGGCGCTGCCGGAGCGGGTTAGCTGGACGACAAGCAGTATCCACCTTTTTGTCAACAATTCAACCCCCTTCACCGCACAATGGCTGCCTGCTCCCCAGCACATGGAAAAGAATCGAATTCTGGCCGTGGATGAGGGATTGACTGTGCTCCATGGGAATCTGCTGGAGACGCAAATCCTGAATGTGAGGCTGTGCGGAGGCACCGCCACGGCTTGGCTGTCAGAATATCCACCAATTGATTGACAGGTTGCTTCGTCCGAAACAGTCAGCACGGCAAGCTCTGATCCTTATTTGGCACTCGATCGCTGAATGGTAGTAATTCAATACGAGTCTCTCTGATCCAACCTCTGTCTCGCCGCGTATCGATGGAGGACCAGTAGGATGATGCCGCAGAATTATTTGGATGCATTCATTATCCATCAGGCGCATTGCAGCTAGCTGCATGACGAATCACCAATGGCAATGGGCGTTTGGAGCAGCTGAACGAGGAACCAGAAACGTCATTTCTCTTAAAATTCCCACCAACAATTTTTATGCCTTCTTCGCCTGCGATCTGGGGACAGAAGCGGTTAGGCTGCCTGCTCACCCCTGTCTTCCTCTCCTCCACGAGATTCCGTGACTGGATTAGTACTCCGTACAGTATTATGCCTGGGGAGATCCAGAACCCCAAAAGTCCCCCGGTAAGACCTGGCTAGGAAACACAAAGCTTCCGAGAACTTACCGCCCTTAGAAGGATCCAATAGTCCGCTGAGCTGGGGCACGTTGAGTCTTCTAGTCCATCTCTGGCTTACTGGAAGAATAAGCTGCGTTCGCAAGATTGACTACTTATTAAGAACATGGGTGATGATGGGAATCACGGTACCAGATTCTGCCAGGGTCTGGATAGGCCGGCGGCAGAACAGGTATAATTAATTACTTGGAGAGAAACCATCGTCATTGTGCATACAAATACTCCTGGTATCAAATACAAGGACACGAACAATTTAGGATGTCTCATACGATAAAGACGAAGACGCCTAACTGCGCGACTTCGGATGGAGAAGAGGGCTATGTAGCAAGAAACTCATCCAAAGGGAAAACTAATCCCTCCTCCGCTGCTCCTGTCGGCCCCAAACCTCCTCCACGCTAGACTTCCCTTTGGTTTCCGGCACACGCAGGAAGATCAAAAAGCCAAAAAGGGCAGCCAAGGCCGCGAAGATCCAGTAGATCTTCCCCCTGCCGCCAAGGGCATCATTCAACACGGGGAAGAATTGGGCGACCATGAAGGTTGCGGTCCAGTTGGCTGCCAAAGCCCAGCTCTGAGTAGCGCCTACGGCCTCCGGTCCGACCAGCTCAGAGGCCAGGATGAATGGGACAGGGCCCAGTCCGACCGCGAAACTAGCCACGAAAAATAAGCTCGCGATAGCAGAGACTGCCTTCTGACCAACCGAGATCCCCAGAGCCAGTAACACCGACCCGAACCCCATGCCGGTAATACTAAGCAGGAGACAGGTCTTGCGGCCGATCCTATCCGGCAGTGGAGAACAAGCAAGAGTAACCACGAGGTTGAGGATGGAGATCATAACGGCCAAGAGCGGTGCCGCCGTGGGAAGAGTGCTCTGCAGCAGTGAGACGCTGTACATGATGATACTGTTGACGCCCGTGAACTGCTGAGCCAGCATCACGATTACAACCGCGAGAATGGCTGGGCGGTATTGGGGATTGGTGACCGCGCCCAGGATGGTGACCGGTGGATTGCGCGGCGGGAGATTGGCCGACGGTGGTGAGAGCAAGGATTCTTCTTCTGCGGCTCCATTTCCGGACGTCGAAGGCGCTTTCCACGCCTTGACCTCATCTTCGATATCGGCATCCTTTCCCCGTATGCGTTGGAGGACCTGTCGGGCCCGGTTCGCGTGCTGATGCTCCGCCAGCCAGACAGGACTTTCCGGGACCAGAAGCAGACCGCTGAGTTCCCCACATCCAATGGCGGCACCAATGGCGAGAATAATCCTCCAAAGACTGTCCTTGCTGAGGAAGTAACCCAGGGTCTGAGCCAGCAGAATACCCACGTTTGTCATGACCTGTGTGAAGGCTCCGAAAAAGCCCCGTGACTGGGGAGGCGCGATCTCAGAAACGAAGATGGGTCCAACCACGATGGAAGCGCCAGCACCCACACCGGCGAGGAATCGCCCAATGCTGAATACCGCGATGCCGGATGAAAGAGCCTCAGCGATCGACCCCAGTATGAAAAACACAGTCGTCGCCCTCAGGGCTAACAACCGTCCCGACTTCGTGGCAATGGGCCCCGCCAGCAAGGCTCCCAGGAGACCGCCCAGTGTGTAGATGGAGGAAACGAGACCGAATTGCGATGGATTCATGGGAATGCATTGTGGCAGGCGTGGAGAGGAGAAGGAATGCGTCGATGTGATGCTCTTCTTTTTGCACGTAATCACGTCTTGGGGAGCGTTCAGTTCAGCCTGGTTTGCAATCGGTGGTCAGTCCCAACAATCCGTATAAAATTCCCATCAAAGATCGAATTGAAGGTTCGTATATACCAGATGGTATCCGAATTGCAGTGGTCCCAATGTCGTGACGAAGACCAGGTAGACAAGGTATGGCGTGATCTTGGAGCCGGTCGGCGCTGGGGACACCATGGCGTGCTGCACGGGAGAATCTGTATGGGGGATGAAGTAGGCTGAGATAGGTTTCCTTCCCTGCTGCTCACTCTTCCCATTCGACAGCCAGCAGGTCTCCAGGCAGCATGGATGGTGGCATGAGCTGGGGTGTCCAGGTTGGATTAATCGACGGAGCTAGGACACGAGCATGACGTGGAGTGTTCCCACCGTTCTCTGGCCGATCGAGTGATCAGGCAACGAAGAACCACGGTTACTAGCACATCTCCTTATCACGGCTTTAACGTCCCTTATAGGTTTACAATGTCCCAATCCCTGCCAATCCTACTGAATAATTAAGGAGGCAGTGCATATCTATTACTTCCGGCATTCCGCGAGCATGCTCCGCGCAATGAAGCTGGAACGGACTCCTGCAATCTCATCACTCCAGCACATCAGCAATTACCCCGTATTCCGCAACGAATACTGAGAATCATGAAGGACTAAATCCACTCTATGATGTTCTCCGATCTTAAATCCCGGGTTTGCATGATCCATGAATTCCTCGGTGCTCGCGGGGGAGTCGATTGGCCTGCACTGCTGACTAAGCCTCCGGAGGCCGGAGGAGTGCCAGCGAGCATGAGCTAGCTGGTGATGGCCTGAGTCGTGATGCGAACTGTCACGACTCCCGACTTCGGTGGAGTACCTGGAGGATCATCATCGATCGTCTTTTGTCTGTGTTTGCTGCATCGTTCCACCGCCCGCGCCACTCAGCCCCGTTCGGATCTGGATCTCCATGCCTGTGTTGGCAGCCTCTTCATGAGCCTGACCAACCCGCCCTCGTCCGCCGGAGGCCCGTTGACGACCTCTTCCATCCGGCCCACCGCGGCTTCCTCCGTTAGTCAGAATCCGAACCTCAAGAGAAGCGTCCAGGCTGCTTTTGACGGTAAATAGTCTGCTCGTTTTTTCTTTCTCTTCTCCTTTCTTTTTCCGTTGTCAGCATGTCTCGTTAAAGGGGATCTGGCCTGTCTTTCTCGTCTCTTCTGACTCTGCTGTGGCTGGTTCATGGCTGTCCGGGTCTTAATTCTCCCGTTCCCCTTTTGTTGGTCGTGGCTTGATTGATATCTGGAGGACGTCGCTGCTTCCCTGTGCCGTCCCATCATGTTTGGAAGGAGCTTTCCCTTTGCGAACTCACTGGGGGCCCCCTATCTACGTGGTAATTTCCCTTCCTGGTATCTGTCGCATCGTTGGTTCAAGGCAGAAGAGAGAGGTCACGTGGGGGTGTGCGCTCTTTGATCACGAGCCTCGAGCATCCTTATGGCTTTCCGGTCTTTGGGGCAATCGATTTTCATTTTGTTGATTTGCTTCCATCGATTTCGACTTCTGTGAATCCTGCGATTGGCTTAATTGTCATCTTGCTAACTCAGGTATTTACCAGACACGGCAGATTCGAAGAAGACATCCGGAAGTGTATATACGAGCAAAGTCCATGTCCGGGAAAAGTATCATATCGTTGGCTTCATCAGCAGCGGGACATATGGTCGCGTCTACAAAGCCATTGGCAGGAATGGCCAAAAAGGCGAATTCGCCATCAAAAAGTCAGTCTCCGTACTCTGTCTGAAGGATACACATCGCTGACTCTTCCAGGTTCAAACCCGACAAGGAGGGCGAGCTGATTCAGTACACGGGCCTTTCTCAATCCGCGATCCGAGAAATGGCCCTGTGTTCGGAGCTGAATCATGCGAACGTCGTCCAGCTGGTTGAAATCATCCTCGAAGACAAATGCATCTTCATGGTCTTCGAGTACACGGAACATGACCTGCTCCAGATCATTCACCATCACACGCAACCACAGAGACATGCGATCCCCGCCCCGATGGTTCGATCGATACTATTTCAACTGCTGAATGGCTTACTGTACCTGCACAGCAACTGGGTGCTTCATCGAGATCTGAAACCGGCGAACATCCTGGTCACCTCCAACGGCCACATTCGAATCGGCGATCTTGGTCTGGCTCGCTTGTTCTACAAGCCGCTCAACTCTCTGTTCTCGGGAGACAAGGTTGTGGTGACCATCTGGTACCGCGCTCCGGAGCTCTTACTCGGTAGTCGCCACTATACGCCAGCCGTCGACCTTTGGGCGGTCGGGTGCATCTTCGCCGAGCTCCTGTCCTTGCGGCCCATCTTCAAGGGGGAGGAAGCCAAGATGGACAGTAAAAAGACGGTCCCCTTCCAGCGGAACCAGATGATGAAAATCATCGAGATCTTGGGCTTACCGCGGAAGGAGAATTGGCCTGGGCTCGTGTGGATGCCGGAGTATCCCCAATTACAGTCTCTGGCCATGTCCCGTGGGCCGGGCCATTTCAACAAGCCATCCAACCTCGAAGGATGGTACCAGGCCTGTCTGAAGAACAGCGGCTACGGGCCGAATTCAAGCGCAGGCACACCCGGAGCCGACGGGTTCGATCTGTTATCGCGGTTACTCGAATACGACCCGGCAAAGCGCATCACAGCGCAAGAGGCGCTAGAACACCCTTACTTCAAAAACGGCGGGCCCATCAGCGCCAACTGCTTCGAAGGCTACGAGGGGAAGTACCCCCACCGCCGCGTCAGCCAAGACGACAACGACATTCGAACCGGTAGCCTACCGGGGACGAAGCGGAGCGGGTTGCCTGACGACAGTCTGATGGGGAGGGCATCGAAGCGTCTGAAGGAGTGACAAACTTGCATGTTATCCCAATTATTCCATTGTATATGTTTTTCTTTCTCCCTTATTGATCATGATCATTCATTCATTATGGGCGTTCATGGCAAATGGGTCAGGTAATAATGACAAATGTATGTGCCAGACAGAGCAAGAGGCGTTAACCAGGTTGGGATCACATATCATGTATCTATCGATCTATCTATCTATCTATCATATATATCATTTGCATATTTGCAATATTATATATTAGGCCATTCATTCATTCATTTATTGAATACATGTATGTCATTCAAATCAATCCTTTTTATTTTCTTTGCATTCTCTTTCTCTCTCGAGTCGAGTCTCTTGTGTCAGTGACATGTCCTATCGTATCGTAAGCAAGGTACAGACAGGCAGGCAATCAACATCCCTACACTATACACAGCACATTCCGGCAGTAATACAACTTACCTAGGTAGGTAGGTAGGTAGGTATACAGTAAGTACTTTTTTTTACCAGTGCAGTGCAGTGTGTTATGCACAAATAATATATATATAATAATGCATGCATGACTATTATCTACAACTACAATTTTACAATTCTACACTTTGATCTTAGTGTTTTTTTTCTTTGTCTTTTTCTTTTTCATTTTCTTTTCTTTTTTTTGGGTTTTAGAGGAAAATGGGAAATCCATGGCATTTATTTTTTTTTCGGTATTTTGCTATGTAGTCAAATAAATTTCAATTTCAATTCAAATATGCTCTTTAATTCCTTGATTGCTTTACTTGATCTGCTTGATTTGATTTGATTGATTCATGCTTTCATCACAATCTGTCTTGTCTGCCTCTCAGGACAAAATAAAATGAAGAGTGAAGAGAAGAGAACAGGATTTCTCTCTCCCACCAGAGGAAGGTAGAAAGGAAAGTAAAAAAGAAAAACTTAGGCTGACCTCTGGCAACTGTCCTGTCCTGGCCTGGCCTTTTGTTTGTTGTTTGTCATGGTGCATGGTGTAGCTGAGACACCTTTACCGAAGAAAAGAAAAAAAAAGACAAGTACAAACAACTACTGGGGAAGAAAAAAACAAACATCAGGAGCGTTTCCAAAAATAATAGCCCCATGGTCAAAGTCAAGTCAAGTCTTCATGTCTGTCAAGTTTCATTCAGAGAATGAGTGAGAGCAAGAATTGAGAATGAGATGTGCAGAATTCATTCATAAATGAAAGACTTGAAAGGAAGAAAAAGATAAGGTAAAAAAAAACCTAGGGCTATGGATAGGAAACAACCCACATGGTGGCATCTCCTTATCGTCAATGAATGACTCACACAATCGGGCTCTTACGCTTCTCAGCGCTGGAGAGCACCAGCATCGGCGTCTTGCGTCTCTCCGAGTTCTGCGACACAGTCCGGTGACCCGCCACAACCGCAGCAGCGGATGGTGGTGACACCTTCCCACCAAACCCAGGGCTGTCCTCACCACTGGTGGTGGTCGTTGTGACGGTGTACAGACTGTCCATCGACCCCCGCTCGCGAGATGTTCGGTCTTTCTCCTTCATCTCGGAACCGATCGCGCCGTTGGCAAGGGCCCGCAGACTTCCCAGACTGGGCTTGCTCGAAAGGCTTCCGCTGCCCCGACGGCTCTCATCTCCATCCGACACAGAGGAGAAGGCAAACTCGGTCTCGCTGGCTGGCGTGTTACTGCCGCCGCTGCCGTGGTTGCTTCGCGACTCACCGCGACGCTCAATCCCGGCCCGGACCAGGCTGTGAACCGCACGACGCCGCTGACGAGTGGCAAAGTTTTTGCTTCCCTCATGCTTCGAGGTCGGCTTGGCGATGAGCTCTTCGAGTGATGGGGGACCACGGGGCTGGCGGATCGGGTGCTCGCCTGCGCGGCCCTGTCCGGGACCGAAGGTGCCGGTCGCCGGGGTCTGAGGGAATCCCGCAGACCTTGGACCACTCCCGTTCGCGCGAGCAACATCGATATTCGCTTTCAGGCCGGGGGCAAATGAAGAGCTCTTCTTATGACCCCGACGGAAGGCGTTGGCTGAAGGCGAAGAAGTCGCACCCTGGGGCGGAGACGGGCTGTTCTTGGGTGAGACGGCGCCTGATGAATCTTTGGGAGATTCGGTAGACTCTGGGGGAGGAGAGACTTCAGCGCGGAATGGTGGGGGATTCGCGACGGGCGACTGCTGCGTCTGTTCCCGGTACGACGGGGGCGCCGAATCCTGCTGTTGAGCACCAACACTGTTGTCATACACAAAGTTTTGCTGACCGGTCATGGGATTGTAGACAGAGTACAGGCCCGGCTGACCCGGAACAGGCTGAACAACAGGCTGCATACCCTGCTGGAGCTGTTGCTGGTAGAGACTCATGCCCGGAAAGAAGGACGCAAGCTGCGGTTGCTGCTGCTGCTGCTGCTGCTGCTGCTGCTGGTGGCTCAGTCCCATATTCAAGTTCTGAAATTGCTGAGTGACATTGATCAGTTGCTGCTGCAAGCGCTGCTGCTGGGCTTGCAAGAAGAGATTGGTCGACATGAGCTCGGCATACAGCTTCTCGTCCATCGTCTCGCCCTCACGCAGGTCGATCGCTGGAGGGGCCAAAACCTGCTCCGGAAGGGAATACAAGGGCTGTCCCATGTTCATCATGCCCAGGTTGAAATTCATATTGTTGGAGGTGGCGTCGACGCCGTACATGTGCTGAGGAAACGTAGCACCGGTAGCCGTCTGAGGAATGCGATCGGCATTGCGATTGCCATTTCTGTTTCCTTCGAGGCCAACACGCTGCTGTTGCTGCTGTTGCTGCTGTTGGTGAGAGGGAGGGATTGTGGCAGACTTGGGAGCAGTCCGCAATCCGGCCAGGAGATGAGAACGACTGGTCCGCGGGGTGGCGGCCGTCGCGGGAGGCTGAGATTCATCGATCGTGGAGATCTGAGAGGGAGGAGGCACACTCAAGCGCTTGATATGGGAGCCCTTCCCTCGAGAAGCGAAACCAGAACCGGGAACGCCAAGAGAACCGCCATTGAAAGAAGAATTGTACGTCATCTGAGCAAGACCGCCAGCGTCCATACTCATGGTCGTGGAGGAAAGGACAGAAGGGGGTATCGATAGGCTGGGTATGTGCAAAGATGCCGAGAAGAGGGGAAAAAGAAATTGACAAAAAGGTCGTAAAAGAGTAGATTGACTGTTTGGACGAGACGAAACCCGGAGGCGAATCGGTGGCCAACCACAGACTCGTCGATGCGAATGCAATTAAGGATATTAAGACAAAGCAGGATTGAAATCGACACAGACACGAGGGCAACGGCGAGAAATAAATATCTCACGGAAGAAAAAGACTGTTTTCATTCACACCGTTCGTCAGTGACTGTCCCAGAAGGAATAGTGAATAGTGAAGAGGGAGTGGTGAATAGTACCAAAAAGTAAAAATGCAGATCAAAAATTATCACGAAGTGAATAACAGCTTCAGACTCGAAGAGCTGAAGACGCGGTGATTAAAATGTACAACGAAGATAGCGATGCAGCGGGCCTCGAGAAATCGATGAGTACTGACCACGGGAAGAGCCCACGGTCAGCGGATGATGATTAGACGCAAGCTCAGGATGCACTGCAATCCTCCTTGCAAAGACGTCTGGACGCGGACGAGAAAAAAAAAGGACGAAACGCGATGGAATGGTGCGATGACCTCGCAGATACAAAAAAAAATGGGTGGGTAATTTGAATTCGTCGCGTGTGGGCGGGATGAAGGCGAAAAGGCGGCGACGCGAGAGAAGTCAACTCCAACGCCGAACCAACGACAATCAGCAAGGGAGAGAAGCGTTTTCGCAATGATTCAACGCAGCCGTGTGCCAGTCGAGGTAATGAGAGATTCGAGGTAGGAAAGCTTTCGACTACGATCGGATGGCAACAAGCGCGCGGGAACCCAGAAAATTTCGCCTTCAGGGGAACGTCTGTTTTTTTTTTTATTTATTTTTTCCCCAATTTTCAAATAAAGATAAGGCAAATGGGTGATGAGTGAACGAAGAAGTAGACGATAGAGAAAAGAAGGCGAAAATAGAGTAAAGGAGCCCAGACGTGCGAGGGTTGAGGGGGGAGGGACAAAGACGACGAGAATGGAGAAGGAGACGGGAGAGTGAAGAGCGGCTGGTGAAAGAAAGGGATTGGGGGAAATGAGGTGACGGAGGGCGAGCACTCTGAGACGCCCGGCGGCGGCACTAGGCGGCAGTGCCCGCTGACTGGCTGGCGCGGCGGGTCCTAACCGACAGCTGCAGGGCCAAGCCGCTGGAATAGAATATCGATAATGACGATGAGATGGAAAAAACTGACGGCGAGCTCTCGAGTCCCGGGAATTCCCAGAGACAAAAGAGAAATATAAAGGAAGAACGGGTGAAGTGAGAAAGAAAGAGGAAAATAGTTCAGCCTGAGACCGTGAGGAAGAGGACGGGCACCTGCCTAGAGAATCCTGGAATCCCTTTTCAGCTTCCAGATAGAAAGCCCCTCTTCATTTCTCCTGCTGCTCCCCTCCTTCTCTTTCATCCCTCCTCCTCTTCGCTTTTCTTTGATACTCCGTACTCTGTACTTCCTCCAGATGCTCATCGGCAACGGTGGTTCGTCCGCCGCGGGAGAGCCCTACGAGCGCCCCGGACAGACGCCGCAGCCAACCAGCGGCGAGCGATTGCCCGAAGCGCGCATCGGCACGCCTTCGTTGGTCTGTCGCGTGCCCCCCCCCTCGTTCCGAACCGGGTCTAGCGCTGCCAACGTGGCCAGCGTGTCCGCCACCCAGCGCCTTGCTCCGATCAGGAACCTGCCAGCGAGGCCGCTGACTGGCTGGACGGCGAACCGGTGGAGTGGGAGGCGGCGCCCCACTGATCCAATGATCAGCCGTTTACCTGGTTCGAACCACCATCTGGAGGAAGGATTATTAATATGATAAACTGCCAGGATGTTAGATGGATTGCAAACACTTTCAATGCTTGTAGTATATGAAAGTAGTACAGCAATACCCAAGGCATGCAATAAAGGCTAAAGAGAAGAGCATCCAGGAAGCTTAAGCCTTTCATAAGTAATCACCATTGCATTAGAACCAATCTCATCATTGCTCATTATTCTACATTATTCACACATTCACCATCTTCAGCCTCAGTCTGACAACTGAGACCACCTTGAGCAAGACGGTGTTTTACAACCAGCGTATGCGGCTATGTACAGTACAGCAGAGTACAGTACAGGTTAGGAGATAAAGGAGGGAAGGATAAGGAAAAGAAAAAGGGGTATCAGGGGTTAAAACGCTCGTGGAAGACTACTGCGAGGACCACGACATGAGAGGTGCAGATACCGTGAGACGCCTGAGACACAAAGACATGCTCTAGATGGGATCCCACCTGAGAATGCAAGAACGAGGGACATGGAGACATAGGCAAAAGTAAAGTACATGAGAATACAGACCAGGAGAAAAGGGTCTTCCAGGAAAACCACCATACCACCATGGATGCACAAGATGCAAGGACACATGTCGGTTCTCATGACGGGCATTAAACGATCCTGAAAAGACGTCTGTCTCATTCATAGAAAATTAAAGATGACCAGGCTAGGCATCAACTGACACAACAGTGCTTGGGAGGGCTGCCGAGACTGACTCCTTGTTCGGCATGGGCCGCTGTTCTGGCGAGTTGGCCCTATGTGTCTTCCCATTCATGCGGTCAAACTCCAGAGTCTCAGCAAGCTCAGCCGACATAGGATCCAGCTCCTCTTCTTTCAATCCAGTTGCCAAAGCCACCAGTTTCCGGTGCATGTCCAGCTTTGTGCTCACGCCAGCATCGGCTTTCTGCTGGATGAGATTGGTGACTGCAGCACGACGAGCCTTCTGAGCCAACGACAACTCACGCGCCACCTGGTAGAGCTTGCTCAGTTCTTCGGCATTCGGGGGTGTGGTGCGCGGAGGGTCCTCGGCCACCGCAGCCGACGCGGCCGCAAAGCGCTCTGACAGACGCGCCTGCTGGATTTGCTCGATAAACGATTCGCAGCGCTGTCGCACCTTTTCATACCGCGCCATCTGCGTCTCGAGTGGCTCCTTTTCATCTTCCTTTGATGACAGCATGAACGACTCTTTCTGGATGGCCTGGCGATCAGACTCCAACTGCTCATACAGCGCCTCCGGATTCGCTCCATCATCGGCCGCTTGCTGACCGATCTTTGCGTTCCCATACGCTTGTGTGAGTTTCTGATATGCATCGTCCATGAGCGCCCCGATCTTCGACAGTAAAGCCGAGGCCCCAGGAGGTGACTTCGACTGAGCATTCGGGGGGTTTTCCGAGTCATTGGGACCCAGGGGTTCGCCATCGGCCCGGTCATTACCGTGAGTGACGCTCGAGGGAGGGTTAGGAATGAAGTTTTCTTGACATTTCTGCTCCATAATGCCGGCCGCCGTTTCACCCTTTTTGTTCACCAGATTCCCTGCATCAGGGCAGTGAAGGAGGAGCAAGGACACCAGGCGAAAATTCCCATTGCGCGCGGCAACCAGAGCAGGAGTATCTCCATTGGCATCCTGGCAACAGAGCAGCCTTTCCATCTCACTGGGTGGGAACGAATCGCGAAGCTTTTGTAGGAGAACCTCACAGTAATACCGCGCACTCTTCCATTTGCCCTTACTCCTGGTCGTCTCGGCAATATGATGGAAGACAGTCGCTCCGAACCAGTCACAGAATGTAATATTTTCCTGGAGGAGATTGGCGAGAGCTGGCATCGTTCTCTTCTCATAATTGTTCGTGAATAGGACCGCCCGGACGAGCGGGGTCTCATCGTGGATTGATACTGCTTGGACGTCCGCACCTCTACGCAGGAGGTCTCGGACAATTTCCAAATCGCCCATTGCGGCGGCCCAGTGAAGCGCAGTGTTGCCCGAATCATCGATAGGACGATCCACCTGGAAATTGGCAGGCGGTACCGGAGGCGGGATCCTAGCTGCCTCTGGAGCATCACCAACAGTCATGAAGTAATCCAGGAGCTGGTCCCCGTACAGGATGTGTTCTTGCTCGCTGATTGACATGGCATTCATGTCATTCACTCCGCGTTTCCGCTTTCGCGAATGGGTGGAATGTTGCGACATCGGGACCATGTCTTCCTCAGCCATCATTGACGAGGACTCGACCGTTGTCTGTTCAATTGATTCATCCTCCTCGAATCCAGGGGCGCCCATCTCATACTGCTCCTGAGAGAAACTGGACGCACCCATCCTCTGAGGTCGGACAGAATTGAAAGAGAGGTCTTCTGGCATCATTCTCTTGCCAACCGCAGACGCTCGCGGGACCCTGGGTTTTGATGAAGCCGCGGTGACATGCTTTGGCGCTGGCGGCGGGCTCCGATCTCCGGGCACAAAATCGAAGATCGGAGCTAATTTATCAAGGATATTATTACGCTCCGCGAGCAGGCGACCATCCGAGAGAGGAATCCATGTCCCTGTCGTTCAATCAGCCAGAGCAGTAGGAGAGGGCCTGGGGATCGCAGTTGTTACCTTGATACTTGCCATATCCGCCCTGCACTTTCTCATGGACACCTTTTTGCACCTCGCGTTCGAGAATGCGTGTCCTTGCAGGCTTGTCGAAACCGGCTACTTTCAGGATATGAGTCGCATTGATCCAGTCATCTGATCGCCGTCGCATCACACTCTCGCCATCGACCTTGTACTCATAGACCGGCACCTAGAAATGAAAGAGCAAGTCAGGAAAACAGCCCGACGCAGAAAAAAAAAGGACACACTCACCCCACTGTAGGTGGCAGAGTAGATTCTGTTGTCATTTACCGCCGCCATCCTGGATCTCACCGTTCGCTGCCTGGCTTGGGGCAGGCTCCGAGATCGTGGATGTCAACGCAATGTCAAGGGATGGATCCGTGGTTCGATTTTTTCAGATCTGAGGTGTGCCACTCAAGGAGCCAAAGCTAGACACATCACCTGGGGCAGGAAGCAGATCTGGAGCCAGAAACCTCAGCCACGGCGGCTCAGCAAGGGCATCCTGCTGTCGCAACGCGGTGGTGTGCATCCGCGGGAGAGTGAGACGCGACCAGCCGGAGACGGCGCGTTAAGTGGAAAAACTACGCTAAGCCCGATCGGTGATCGCCAATGAAGACGGGCAACCAGATGACTCGGTGCATGCTGCTCCTCCTCACGTGATGTCACGGGACCAGGCAGAGGGCGGCTAAGTCGATGCCGGAGAGCAAGCAGCGGAACGCAAACATCTAGCAGAGGGAGGGAGCATTCTGCCTGACACAAACACCCATTGTTCCCTGCAACTCGTGGCTCAAGATGACAGTCGCAGAGTCGGTCAAGGGCCTTGCTGGCCTGGCCGATGGCAACAGTAAGTCCCGCGCCAATTGACTCTGTCGGTGCAAAGGGCACCAGCGAATGCCGTCCAGATCTGACCGGATATGAACCGCTTCCAGCCACAGCTGCCTCTCGAAAGGAGATGTCCGACGCTCGTCTTCCTCTCGCGTACCGGGATTCCTGTGCCCATCTCCTGATTCCACTGAACCGATGCCGGCAAAAAGAGTACTACCTCCCATGGAAGTGCGAGGTATGAAGCCCACCTCGCCCTATGTTGCCGCGGGCAATTGATCTTCTCGTCCCGGCATCTATTTGCTGACTGCAATACCAATTGTCCCAGACCGAGAGACATACCTACGAGAAGTGCCAATACGAGGAGTTCAAGAAGCGTGTGGCCAAGATGGACGAGCTTCGAGCTGCAAAGGGTGGCGAGCGGAGCAACTAGCGGTGGTTCATCTGGGCTGAATCAGACGATGCTGGATGACCTTTTCTTCTTTCTTCTTTCGATTCGGAAATGGCATAAATCCGATGATGTACATACATACATATTCGAGAGCGGCCGTCGGCAGACCGAACTGGCGTTGGGATCCTTTTATACAATCCAATTCGTCACTTGTCATTCCTTGATGCGCCTTTCTATGTTTTCTATCTAAGGGCGGACAGCAAATTCGCTGTTGTGTTTCCTGTTAGAAGCTATTCGACTGTTCTTGCTGAGGGGAAATCGTCTCTCTATACGAAGTCAACTGCCTAGGTATCTGTAAGCGTGGGGAGTCGTGAGTTTTTGACGCCATCGGCCCGATGCAGAGCGTAGAGTTTGAACTCGAGATATGCGTGGGGAACAGTGCTAAAGCGTAAGAAGCATGTCGACTGGCGCTGTGTGCAACATTAGCCGCCCTTGACGGTGTCTCTACCATCCACATCTGGCATGAGAACAGATCCTGATGTAACTGTTATTTAATCGTCGCTAGAGTGGGATGGTATCCAGGAGTGGCAGCATGCAGCTCTAGGCGCGTTCTCGTCCACCCATCGTGCCAATCACGTAGTCAGATCGGCACAGCACTCTGCCTGTCCACGGACGCCAGTGGTTTCGATGTTATAATATAATCACGTCAGGATGGCAGGTTTTCTTGTGTTTTTTCTTTTTTTGGGAGTTGCCCGGGGCGCCTTCCAAGACCCAGTCTTGGTCTTGGATAGCACATTACTCATCAATTCCAGGTGTTTCCGCGATAAGCCCGAATAATGCCCCGCAGCTTTTCTCTTGTCCTCGGCGACCCCACGTCGAAAAAGACAGGAACACTGTCGGGCCGTGAGGGGAAGCCTGAAGAAGCAAAAAAAATAATTACTAAACAGGTTGCGATTGTCGTTGCTCTCGGTGCTTAATTACACCATCCATATTACCTACTTGGATCGCGGAGAACCGACGTCCTTCGTCCGTCATCGTCCTGACTGGATTTCTATATCGGAAGCTTCCCCAGCAATTTGGAACCATCCCCCCCTCTCTCTTTTTTTACGTCACTGCGGTTCTCACGGAGTTGGGACGACAAAGCATCCAGCAGGGATTTTGCTTGCGATCTCGGGTCGACTCCCAGAATAACTGCTCCCCAAGGAGCCGTGCTCTCCCACGATGGGTTTGCTGTAAGGAGCACGATCGACAAAAGACCAGACTCCCCGCATCTTGGTCGGCATGCTGACCCGGAATCACCCACAGCGCACTGGGGACTGCCCTAGATTGGCCGGAAGCGAAGAAAAACGCAGACAAAGTACGGAAATGGGGCATCGAGGTGTGTACTCGCCCGCGGATGTTCTGCCGCAGTGTTTGTCAACATCGCAGCTGACGGTTCTCAGCAACTCCTGGCCACCTGGAATAGAGCGAAAGGAAAAGAGCGCGATGCGCTGCTTTGGGGCGACGAGGTGTGTGCGATATTCGCGGTTTAACTGACCCAGTTGTTGGTATTCTTGCATTGCTATTAACCTCCTCTGCGGCGCGGCAGGTCGAGTATCTTGTCGTGACGTTTGATGATGACTCTCACAAAGTGCGATTGTCCCTTGCCCAGGTGGAGATCCTAAAATCTCTTGCCCGAGATGAGGCGCTGTGGAAGGCGGGCGGTGATCTCCCGGGGCTGAAAATCACACAGTGAGCTGGGCTCTCCGAATCTTAGCATAAACGAATTCATCTTAATACGTGTCTAGCGACGGCGAAGATCTGCCTACCTTCCATCCGGAGTTCGGGAGATTTATGTTGGAAGCGACGCCGGGACGGCCCTGGGGCATTGATTTTCGGGATTTGCTGAAAGTGGAGTCCAACATGCGATGGAGGTATGATGTACAGTACATTATACATACATACATTGTGTGGCAGGTGTGGCTCCTGCAGTTTTCTGACGGTTTATATGTCCAGACGAGAACTCGCGAAAAGTCACATGGCGCCAAATGAATATCCCATCACCCTCACCACCTTTCCCCGGCTGGGGACCAGGGATGACTATATCTCTCCGTACTACCCTCCGTCCGGACCGGCCTTGCGCTCGCAGTTCGTCCCCGACGAAATTGCGAATCCGCATATAAGGTTTCCGACATTGGCAGCCAACATCAGAGCAAGACGTGGCCGGAAGGTGGAGATCAACGTTCCCATTTTCAGGGACAAGAATACTCCGTGGCCATTTCACGACCCTACCGTCAACTATGACCTTCACAACTGGCCCGAGGATGACGACGTACGAAACGGAGCGGTTAAGGAGGGTCACGTCTACATGGATGCGATGGCATTTGGAATGGGCAGCTGTTGTCTCCAGATCACCTTCCAGGCCAAAAACATCACAGAAGGGCGACGATTGTACGATCAGCTGAGCCCGTTGGGACCGATCATGTTGGCGTTGACAGCAGCAACGCCCATCTACAAGGGATACTTGGTGGATACCGATGTGCGATGGAACCAGATCAGTCGATCCGTCGATTGCAGGACCCGAGAAGAGCTCGGTGAAGTTGTATGTCTAGCCTGATATCAACAAAAAAAAAAGGAAAAGAAAAGTGATGAAACTAACATACAGGTGCAGCCGCTCAAGAATGATCGATGGCGGATTCCAAAGTCAAGATACGCTTCCAATTCGACCTATATTTCGCAGGATCCTCGGTTACGGAAAGAGTATCTCGACCCGGACCTGGTCGTGGACGAAGATATCAAAAAGCGATTAATTGAGGGAGGAATGGACGACCTGCTAGCAACGCATTTTGCACACCTCTTTATTCGTGATCCGATCGTTATCTTCTCGGAGGACTTGAAGGAGCTGAACTTGAATGATGTCAATCATTTCGAAAACCTGCAGTCTACGAATTGGCAGCACATGCGCTTCAAGCCCCCGCCACCGGACAAAGACATTGGCTGGCGCGTTGAGTTCCGGTCGATGGAGATCCAGATGACCGATTTTGAAAATGCTGCTTTCTGCATCTTCATCGTCCTCGTCACGCGGGCGATCCTTAGCTTCGACTTGAACTTCTACATCCCGATTCAGAGAACGGCTGAGAATATGGAAACTGCACACGCGCGCAACGCAGTTCTGGAGCAAAAGTTCTGGTTCCGCAAGGATCCATTCTCTCGCCGTGTTCCCAGACCAGCACAGCCTCAAACCAACGGTAACGAGTCTTCCTCCGCCGGCTCTTCTTCCACGGCCACTAGCCCTCCTTCGTCACCACCACTGGGACCGGTGGAATCCGAGTACGAGCTCATGAGCATCGCCGACATCATCAATGGTTCCTCGGACGGGTCATTCCCGGGACTGATCCCCCTGGTGGAATCCTACCTGAACAGCGTCAACGTGGACGTGGAGACCCGATGCTCGTTGGCGCGCTATCTCGATTTGATCCGAAAACGCGCCGACGGCACCCTCTGGACGGGCGCACGGTGGATCCGCGACTTTGTGGCGACTCACCCGGATTACAAACACGACAGCGTCGTGTCCGAGAGGATCACCTACGACCTTGTCAAGGCAGCGAAGGAGATGGCCGAGAAGGAGGGGCGGGATGGAAGTGACGTGGGATGGCAGATGCTGACAGGAAGGAGGGGATGAATTGACGCGAGTTTTTCTTTCATGAGTGGACATGTTTCAACTCTGTAATAGACAGGCGGCATTATGAGTTACAGGGTTTCATTACATATACCTGTTGTTTTTGTTTTCTTTAGGAGTACACATGGCACTGACAGGTGCGTCAGAGGAGCACGTGTATGCACTGCTCGCCATATTCTAGAACAATTGCATAAACATCATTCCTTTTTTTTTCATTTTCGTCTTCCTTCACTGATCACTAGCCTATACAATGCAAGAATTTGGAGATAGCAGTCAAGAAAGAAGACCACAGCGTTTGCATTTCACCTACCTTCTTCCAGCATCTGTCTCTGACTTGGAATCGATTGATGTATTACTTACTCTCGTATCATGTCGACAGAATAGAATCCTTTACCTTACAATGTCATGTCATCATCAGACTCAGCCATCCATATTTGGTCTGCACTGCACGTGGAGTTTTTTCCCGCGGCAAAAAAAAAGTCTTCGGTCTGCATGCATCCCTAGGTTCTATTCAGGCCAATATATGGGTGGTCACTGGTCACAGGCAACAACGACAACGACAACAACTACTCTATCAAAATACGGAGTAATGCTGTGTCACCTTGTCAATAGCATTGTTACTTTGTATCGAGAAGATGGATGGATCTTCAGTCCAGCTGAAAACCCCACTAATACTGCGGCCGCCGCAGGACGTCACGTCACGTTCCTGAAAGCAAGTAAGCGAGAGGTTAAGGCCCACCACATGGACATAGTCACATAACGTAAGTAAGATGCAAGAAAGGAAAAAAGAAAGAAGGAAAAAGGATCCGAAAAGGGGTTCTCTTCTCCTTTCCGTCGTCTGGAAGGTGCGGGAAATTCTTCCAGGGAGGACTGTCGGCTATATATGATAATGCATGTGAAGATCGAAGGATTGAGTCTGCTGTATAAAAAAAATAAAAAAAATAAAAAACCTCTGAGATTGTCGATTGTGGGTGAAGGCCTGGTAGGGAGGGAACTATCCATTCACGCAGTCATTTTTTTTGCTTGCCATGCTATGCTTTCGAAATTTCATTCATTCATTCTCTCGATCTCAGCTGTCACCAGTACATTTATAATCATAATCATCTTCGTCATCTTCGCCGAGGCAAAAAAAAAGTAAGATTTAGTCTGTACTACGAAACCCAAAGAAAAAAGGAAAGCAGGGGATGGGGGGGGGGAAAAAGGAAAGAAAAAGAAAACATTTGCTAAACGAGACGTGCAGCCGATCTCTTTCTCCTACTCCGTACCGTACCCGTCCTATTGATAGATACGACGGACATAACTCCGATTATTCTATCTCCTAATTAATAATTAATATTTTTTTCTGATGTTACATTGTTATCCTCATGATGTGAAACCTAGATCCTAGATGAGGGGTATTACCTAGGGGATAAGTAGGGGATCTTTTAACCCTTTTTGTTTTGTCCAGAGGGGTAAAAAAAGGCACGAGGTATGTAACCCCCCTCTTCTTCCCCCTCTTTCCCCCCTGGCAAGAAGAAATAAGATAAGTTTTCCTTGACGACGTTCATCTGATCTGATCTGCTCTGATCTCATCTCATCTCATCTCCAGCTAGATGGGTATGTACACTGCCCGGGGGAACGGGAGAAGGGTGTATACGGCTCGCGCCCGCGTCTGTGCCGTCTCCTTGTGTTACAGGGATCGAGCACATGTGCGTGGTCTCGATTACCTTACCACCTTCTTATTGAGTGATTGATTCAAGTCAGCTGGATGGATGTTTCTTCCCGTTCCCCGCGACTTTCCGTGTATTGAGGGGGAGGTGCTGCCTAGGTGGACGGACAGGCTGTATGGGTGGGTGTACAGTACATGCCTAGGTAATAATGTACATGTACTCTGCTCTACTCTACTCTGCTCTACTCTACTCTGCTCTACAAGAGAGGGTATCTCCTTCATCTACGCTACGTTCAAGGAAAGAAATATCGTTCATTCCATCGATAGTCGATACATCTATCTCCTGCAAGAATAACTACATCTAATACCTTGTGTTGTATTCTTCTGCTTCAGCAACGGGGAATTACCATCAACCCATTCGACGCACCTATTTTATCGTGCAATCGAGATGAAATATCGACCAACACCAACACACAAGATCTCCTCATTACCACCGTCCTCCTCGTCGACAACAGACGACATCCGAGCCATCCTCACCGTAACAAACAGCTTCCTCAACGCGCTGCACACCAAGTCACGCGCCGACTTCGAAAAATGCTGCTTCCCAGCCGGTGGCATGTCACTGTGCGGACCGGCCGTGGTGCCGCTGCGCTTCGTCTCGCTCAACTCGTACATCAACTGCGTCACGAAGCTGGAGGAGGACCTGGAGGAGCGCATCTGGGACCCGGACGTGCGCGTCAGCGAGAGCGGGAACCTGGCTATGGTGTGGGCGCCGTTTCAGGCCAAGATCAATGGCCGGCTGGACCATGTTGGGGTGAATCTGTTTGTCATGCACAAGATTGATGGGAGGTGGAAGATTAGTGGTTTGGCGGATTCGTGGTGGCGGCCGACAGAATGACCTAGTGATGGATGTTGTATTCATTAATGTACTTGATCATAATAATTGTGGGCTTGACTCGCTTCTTGCAGAATGATATCGGGATGTTGTTAGGGTACGATGTGATCGACACACAGGAAAACATGTTCATACAGTGTATATGGATATCGAAAGCAATCTAACTCCGACTTCTGCTAGTTGCTTACTGCATTGACGGACAGATGGTATTGTCGGCAGCGGGAGATCAAAAAGGAAATCAGCCTGATATCATCCAACTCCATACTTTGATACTTTCGTCTCGCTATTTTTCTACGAAGGAAACATTCATGTATATCACATACTTTCCAGAACTCTGCCTCCAAAATCAAAAAATCAAGCACGAGGTTAAATACAATATCCCACACTGGAGTCTGGACGGTGCAATCCAATCCCTATATAGGATGTATCCTTGGTTCCTGTTGTCTGGTCTTCACTCCGCATCCTCCGAAAGCACACAAGACACCCCATTGCCCGATCCAGCCAGACTGCAGTTTTTTTTTCTTTGCCAGCTACCTAGTTGTCGCAGGACCTACCACCTACCGATGGAGTAGAGCCAGAGCCAGTATTTACTGTTGGCAGGACTCGAGGAACTAGCTCTTATTGCAATTCTTTGAGCGTAGAAAGTGGTCCTCCTTGACGATACTCCTCGTCGTCCTGCGGTCGTATGGCGAGAAACTGGCCTTTTTTTTTGAATCCACTTCTTCTGCTGCTTTTCTTTTATGAGGGAAGGATCAATTTTTTTTAAAAAAAAATTATGCATCGTAGTCTCGAAATATATAAATGCGAAAGATCGAACAGAGAACTGTTCGGTTCTAGTATTTCGGACGTGTTAACTGCTACTGCTCATACGGAGTATATGGTATATATAATATATAATATATATAGTATAGACTATAGACTATGGTCACTGAGAGAAGTCTGCAACAAGTCTCTCTTTCTTTCTTTCTTTTTTTCCTAAACAAATCACCCTTCATATAATAGAGACATGTTAATAAGATTTTAGATGTCTTGAAATATGTATTCCTCACGCGATCACCGACATTCACGGTGGCATCTACCTGGAACTTATCAACTAGATCAGTTTAGTTGACCTAACCTGGTGTTTACATACATTCATAGGCCATATATATAGGAAATGAAATCATATCTGTCGGCGATCTCTGTGTTTGCTCACCACTCGTCGCCGGATGCTGAAGACCTCAGAGCTCTGGCACAAAGAGACAAGATCTATTTTTGACCTCTTTGTATGCCCACAGGCATAAGTAGGGGGCTCAAATCCCCCAGGAGACTTTCTTCCTAGATTATTCCTGTTTACTAGAGTGCTAGTATCAATACAGACTGGATCTTTGCCTTATGGCTGACTGCCTGTTTCGCCGACAATATCTACCAATTGAATTTGTATGTACTGTACACACAGTACAAACATAACCATCACCCCTAGACTCAGCCTCACCCTCACCCTCACCCTCAGAATCTCACAAAATCCGATCTGATCAGAATTCTCTACATAGTAGAAAAACAAACCATCTGTCTTGAATTTTGTCAAGCTAATCAGCCAAGCTAGTCAAGCCAGTCAAGCCAGGAGAGGAGTTCAATAATTCTATTCGATTCCTTTCTTCGTCTTCATTTTCGTCTTCGTCTTCGTCACAGTCTACCCAATACGACAAAAGAAAAATAAAAGTAAAAATAAAAGCTTCATTCGAAAAATGAATGAAGAAATAGAGGCAATAGTATACTGCGATGGCAATGACAACCACTCAATCAACCCCCTACGTGCGCAGTAATGTTACCAACGACGCTAGATATGATAAAAAGAATTAAATAGTGAACAATTTTATTTGTAGCAAATGTTGTTTGTATTTGAGTAGATTTTTTTTTTCTTAAAAAAAAAGTAAAACCAACGAAGAAAAAAAAGAAAGAAATTCTTCTCTTGTAAAAAAAAAAGAGTTGTAATTAGACTAGGATGGCAATGATAACTACTCAAACAACCCCCTATGTGCATAGTAATAATGTTAGCCATGACACTATGTACGATATTAAAAGGAATTAAAATAGTGAACGATTCTATTTATAGTGAATGTTGTTTGGATTTTTTTTTAAAGCAATTACAAAGTGGAAAAGAAAGAAGAAAGAGAAGGGGGAAAAAAACGAGTTTTACAACGAAATAAGACCTGTATCCAACTTCCCAAAGCAAAGCGACAATCATAGACTGACTGGCACAGGCTAACATGTCGACGTACGGACTGAATTGAATTACTTATCTACACGAATTGTCTAGAAGTATAGATACATGAATAAATACTATTATATTACATGAATTGAATACTATTTTTATTTTTTTGTAGCATGGACAGACAGCACGATGCTGAATACATGAAAAATAAGAATAGATATAGATATAGATATAGATATAAATCCAGGAATTGAGGCAATAGATTAACGCATCGTTGAGCATAATTATATATTAGTGAAAGACAAAAAAAAGCAAAAAGAGAAAAAAAATATCGCGAGATATTAATCATATCATACTGGTATGGATTAATTGTCGTAAAGAATGAAGAAAGCGCACTATGTACTTCAAAGATATATTATATATTATATATACATATTTTTGAGCAAAGACGGAGACATGAAAGTATCATTTCTCTTCTCTGACTGTATGTTGTTTCTACTAATAAATTGTTATCAAGTCAAGTGTTATGCTAGGACAGCTCCCAGGAGTATGGAGCACATAAACAAAAAACAAACTGAAAAAAGAATAAAAAAAGATCAATGATAAGAATAAGAATAGCGAGAAAGAATCAAGTACTAATCAGGAATCAGGTTCCTACTACAACGTATGTATGTACATACAGTACAGTATGAGAGTAACGAGACTATCATCTATCCATTCATCAATCCATTCATTCCATCTATTCATTCCATCCTATATATATATATATATATAGACACAGTATCTAAAAAGAGAGAGAATCTGGAGATCTAGTCTCGAGATCTAGAGATATAGACTAGACTAGAGAGAGAGGCAGAGAGGCAGATTCCCAGCTATCCGAAGAATCTCAAGAATCTCAAGACTATTCTATTCTATTCTATTCTATTCTGCTATTTATCAGATCACTACGGAGTAAGTACTAGATAACAGATCAGAAGGGCTATAACAATATAAACACCTAAACACGTTTAACTTAGCTTAGGGCAGACAGGTAAATACCTACCTAAGTATGTATGTATGTACTGTACTGTACCTAGCCATGTAGATAGATAGATATATAGACACACACGAACGACTAATAATCACTCTCTTCAAGTAGAGACAAAAAGGAGTACTCCATCCAAAACAGAACAGCACAGTAGTGATCGTGATAGTAATAGTGATGCACTTGACTGAGTAAGTGAGCGAGTGAGTGAATGAGCCTCAACCAAGCAGCTACCTACCTAGCTAGCTAGCTTTTTATAAAGCTACAGAGCCATAAAACAAAAACACCAGCAAGAAGTTTACTTACTCTCCTCTGTAGAATTTTATCTGAAGAAGGCATCTACTCTGTACAGTATTATTACTCTAGTCGAAAATGCCATGTTTTATAAATCATTATTATTTACTATTTATCATTATTTCGATCAACACAGCAACAGTACAGATTTCTTTCTTTCTTTCTTTCTTTCACTTGTCTTGCAGCCTCACTGCTGTACTCCGTAATGTATGTAATATAACTTAATATTAGTCTTCACTTCAATCAAAAAAGTGAACTTTATCTATCTATCGATCGATCGATCGATCGGGTCAGGAAATTAACTCTTCTCAATTCCGAAAAATCTAGTAATAGTAGTACGGAGTAGTGATTGAATCCTGTAAGAGTTACTTTACTTTACTTACAAAGTACGAAGTAAGTACTTACTCCGTCCTCGTATTTGATTAATTCATAGAGCACCATATATGTATGTCCTCCGTACGGAGACTCCGTCGAATAATATGGAGTTCTCCGTACTCTGTATGAAATAAATACTCTTCCGCACTCCATACTCCATACTCCGTACTCCGTACTCACTATTACTGACGATTAATTGATATTATTCCCGGCCGGGAAGAAAAAAAAAACCTAAATTATTATTATTTTCTTATTTTTTTTTTAAAAAAAATCCCCGCTGGTGCCATTCCCATTCCGATTCATTGAAAAATAAATTAAAACTGCTTGAGCTGCTTGCTAGACCTGCAAGATCGCTCAGCCTCCCTCCAATCGAGTTCTCACGACTCACGACTCACGATGTCTACTCCGTAGACTCAAGACGACCGTTACGATTCCGATCGTCCTTACTCCGTACAGCATCCTATGAATCTATGATCCTGCACTCTGCATTGCATCTGCTGAGATGGGACTCATGGAGAAAACGGGTTAGTGCCGCGGTACTGGTACTCCGTAGTGGACCCCTCTGTCTAGATCGGCGACTGTCAGTACTGAATTGGGAAAATCGGGAGGCTTGTCAAGTGCCCACTAGTACTATCGATCGAATCGTTCGAGTTAAGCACCCCTGGCCCTAGTATTACTATTTTTTTGCGGTATCCACCGTGGATTATAATTATTATTGCAATTTGCTGGGCCCTGGCTTAGTTTCAAAGTTGCTTAACTTGCTTGAGCCAAGTAGAGCACGCTTCCCAAAATTGAGTCTACGGAGTACCCCCTAACACAGTACAGAGTATCGTAGAAGGATTCGTCTGCAATACTCCGTACTCCGTACTGCGTACTCCGTACTCTCTGCTCGTCATTTTGCTGGGACCAGATGGGACCCGGAGATCGTCCTGACTACTCCGACAGAGTACTCCATACGGAGTAAATATCCTAATCAGATTCCAAGTACTCCGTACTCCGTAAAGGGGCTTTTGGAAGAATCCTCCGAATGAAAATCGTGCTTGGCTGGGATCATTCCGATATTAGCCAGAGAAAAAAAAACAGTTCTTGGATCCTCCAATCAGGACCATGGCTCAGTGATTTGTGGCGCAGAACAGAACAGGACTCCGTACGGACACGATCGCGCACCGTTCCATGGATTGTGAGGATCAAGACCCGAAGTGATCCTGACAAGAGAACGTGCAGTCTACTGAAAAACATCAGCTGGTGGAAGCGACTTTAGATACTCCGTACAGCTCTGGCGTCCGCTCCAGCCGAGTGTATGTACACAGCCGAGCCGTTTGCCGGCGTGGCTCGCAAGGAGGAATTTGGGAAAAGATCGCCATGCCGGGATGATGTCCAGTGATGCGTCTTCTTCAACCTTAATACGCTGTATTATTATCGTGGCTGCGAAGGAGGGCAGTCAGACGATGCAGATGCCAGCGCCCGTTGCTCATTGGTCGGTCTGGCACCAAATCGGCGAGCTGCCATCCCAACTCTCTGGTTAGATGCGTCTTTACCATCCGGCACCCACCCAGGGCCACCCTCCTAGTAGGTTATGGTTTTAGCCAGTATTATTAGGATAGCTAGGTAACTGCGGTGGAGAACGCATAGCGGGTTCAACGCCGGGTTGAGGAGTCACTGACCGTTTGACAGTCATATCTGATGGGACCCCACTAACTTAAAAATGGCAGCTCTCAAGGGCCGCGGGCGTGACGGCTTGAAAGGATCATTCTGGGTTAGCGCCATGCTGTGGTCCCGTTGGAGCAATGGAACGTTTTCTCCGATCAGAAATCGACTCGTCTGGGTGCGGAGGCTCTGATCTAGTGAAGTGTGTAATGCGGGTCTAGGATCGGTTTCCGTACGGAGTAGATTTGCGTCTAAGTCTAGGAACGGGTTTCCGTCACCCCGTCTGGATCAGAAAGCTGTCCTTTCTCAGGCGTACAGGTGAGGTGGTTGAGCATGCGAGAGTTGAGAATAGTGAACAGTACTCCCCGTACTGTCCGAGCCTCCATCCATTATTGATGTGAGGAAAGCGGCCGACTATGCATCTGTCAGGTCCAGCTGCACTGCAGCTCAGATTCTCCAGAGGCATCCCTCATCTGTTTTCATTTTTCAATTGGCTAGAGGAATGATTTTCAGAAACGCCTAATCGCTGGCGATGGCTGGATCGTGGGACTGGTCGCAAATCTTGGTACACCAAAGGCGGGAAAGGCGTCAATAGCCCATTGCCGTGGTCTGGTTGCTCTGGCAGCGGGGTCAGAGAGAGCCTATGAAGGAGCTTCTCTCGTCAAAAAAGGAGACAGGCTGCGTACGCTGTTCAGGAGGACGCCAGCAACTGGACCCGGCGGAGTTTCCCAATCGGGAGGGCACGCTGTCCGATCCGACGGAGCGAGCGCACCGATTCAGCAAGGCGCGGGTCTCCGGGCGAGGCGCCGTCGCTGGAGCGCCTGCCTGTCTGGGAACAGTGCAGGGCCACGCCCACGGATGCCCGTTGTGGTCTGACAGGTGAGGTGCCCACTGCCCCGATCGTTAGCATCGACGCTGCATCGTTAGGGGCGCACCGCCGGCAGCGCTCTGGCCTGGGTTGCTCGATCAGGAGCAGCTGATGCCTTTGGTGGTGGATGCAATATAACTGACGATCTGGCGCGCCGTGCCAGCGTCGTCACCAAGCGCAACAGCAAGATCCATGCGTGCTCCATACTGAACCGTCAGCCCCGAGCGAAAGGAACATGGGTACCAGGCCAATACGACTGTGATCTCGATCGGTGGGGCCTCTGGATCAAGATAGAGAAGTGAAGCCCCTGGTCAGTGACCGTCTCGACGATCTTGGGTGCCATGGAGCTTGCAGACTCTGGACCGGCAAAGAGGAAGGTCTCGCGACCGATCCCTAGTCCTACACCGTTCAGTGCTGTAGTATATCTTCTGCAAATGCAACACCCTTTATCCGAGGACAGAGCACTTCGGATATGGAATACTAGTGACGCAACACTCTGGACTGGTCGTTATATCCTCGTGTCGTGTCTATATGCCATGGTGACTTGTCGTGGCCAGTGGGATCCGGATCAGACAACAAAACGGTCTGGGGTTATCAGATTAGCACGCGCTAGTTAAGGAGCCATGTCGCAGACTCACAGCAGTCACGGTTGGTCAAGCTGCTAGCTGATCTGACCCACTGACCAGGAGGGTCATACATCGCGATCCAACGCAGATCGGTGGGCGAAAAGCATCACCCTCTGGAGACGAGAAATGAGGTCCTCGTGATTCGCTGAAACTGAGATGGATCTTCTAAATTCCCCGAGGCTTGAAACTGTTCGGATAGCCAGGACTTCGATACTATGTACTCTGTAATGAGCAGTCACCGTATCTCAGTTGTAATCCACGGAGCAGTAGGTACGATGTAGGGCGACAGCTTGGGATAGAGCATGCAGAAGGAGTGATCTCCGTATACGGAGTACTTCGTACTGACTGAGTCGAGGCAGCTGTTGGATCAAGATCTTTGTCCTCTATGCCGGATTTAACACGCTTTTTCAATCACGCTCAGCTGCGGTTGCTGGCTGCCCATAGTCACCTGCAACGGCGATAGGTACGGAGTACTCCGTAGTATTCCGTACTCCGCAAGAGGCGCTATTGCTGGTGAACGGACGCCTGCTAATAGCACACCTTTTCTTTGCTGCAGTGTCAAAAGATCATCATCCGAGTCATAAACCGACCTCATTAGCCTGAGCTCTGGTCCTAAGCCCACCGTGATTGCCGATGAGATCAGGGTCCAGGGGTACGCCGACTGATCGCCACCGCCATATTGACCCGCGGAGTTGAGGAGGAGCTTGGACGCGCTTGGGGCCGCCGACGGCAACGATTTGCAACGGTCGGGGACGGCGTTAGCAGTCAGACCAATGGGCATGCCCACAATCCGGTGGTAGCTTGTGGGCAAGTCTTTGACGGATCGAGATCCTGCGGCACCCGTACTATGAAATTACTGGGCCGGCACACCAAGAGATCCGCGCCCCCCCCCCCCCCCCCCCACTACTGCGACCGTCGATTTCGTGTAATTGATCCACTCGCGGGTTATGCATGCAAGCGTTTCAGGCGGGAACAACCACTCTGTATGAGATACTAGAACATGCGAATGCCTAATGGCCTCGCAAGGCTGAAAGAAAGTCCCGAGTGTGTTCGTCATGGCATCCTCCTGCTGAGATGGTAGTAGTCGTGTAAAAAGGCCTTTGTTCTTTGTAATGGTACAGCCACCAAGTAAGCGAGTAGTGACTCGAGGCAGTCGAGTTTTGACAGGCCCCATGATTCGAAGGAAAGAAGCTACTACAAGGAAGGCAACTCATCGAGATATCTGTTTCCGCGGTGATGATTCAAGTAATCATTGTGAAATAAGACTCGACGGGCACGTTAGTGTGAAACACGAGCAAGGGGAGCGGGTGCGATTTATCCCTCTTCGAGGCTGGTCCGTCCCGGGAGATGGAGAGGTCGTTCCGCCATAACGGACTCCTGTCGTACAGCAGGGATTGTCAGAATTGGAGCGAATTACGGAGGACAGCATTCCATCAGTAGTGCGCCGTTGAAAAATGACGGATCTCATGTCGAAGCCGAGCCATTGTCTCTGCTTGTGAGTGGTTCGGCTTCGGCAGAAGTGCGACCCGGCAGGGAGCGTTCCTTGCCCGGTCGGAGGACGGTCATTGTTCTGACGGGAGCGAGAAATCCTGCAATCGCACTGTAATAATAATCAGGATCATTATTAGCAAACCTCATGTCGTCACTCGTCAGGCCCCTGCCCAGCGGGTGCGATCATGGCTGAGACGGGGCGTCCCTTGGCATGCGACAGGCTGTGATGTGTAGAAAGGCTAAATCCAACGGCGCAGCACCCCGTCGGAGGGCCTGTCAAGATGCCATTGGTGATCTCGCCCACAGCAACTGCAGGACGTGCAGTGGGGATCTCGCACTGATAGGGAAAAAAGCTTCAGTTCAGCTCAACAGCCCCAGCCAGATCAGGTGATCGACTCGAAGAAACGAAGCGAGCTAGCATTTAAAAAAAATTAGAAATAGAAAAAAAAAAAGAGGACGTACCTGGGAGTATGGACAGGGTAAACCTGCTGACAAGAGTTTGACTTGGCCAGTCTGCCAGTGTCATAAGCGACTCTTTGCCGATGCTGCTCCTGTTGAGCTTTGCGTGCGTAGATCTTGCTGCACAGAGTGTTCCAGCATCACGCGGCTAGACGGTATCTACCGAGGTTCCAGCCAAATAAGATTAAGCTGCCACGGCTGGGGATTGCAGGACGAGTGCACCTGGTTTAGGTACCTGGTAGGTAGCTTATCTGGGCGGACACAACCATGGAACCAGGACGATCTGAGACGATGTCTGGAGAGGCAACTGCCGCAGGAACCTCTGCTGATGGCGTGGTGCGTCGTGCCTTCCTCAGCGGCACTGCTGAGGCGGGCCTGTCGAGGAAGGAGCGATCGGGGGCTCCACCGCGATCATGTGCGCGATCGGAGGCGTCCATCTCGATATTGGATTTGGGAGGCCACGAGCAGCGAGCAGCAGGAAATCCATCGCTGCAGTGCTGCAGCGCCATGGCCCATCCTCCATGGCCGTTGATCCCAACAACGTCTGGATCTCCGATCTCGCGATCGCCTATTTGCCGGCCAGATCTCACTGGCCTGCCGCCATGCGCTAGCCTGGGATCTATTGTGCAGCCGGCCAGTCAGCAGGCGCGGTGGCTGTTGCCAGCTGGCATCTGCGAGGGCACGATGCACGCCCGCTCCCGCCTGCCTGGAACGCGGTGGAGGCCGTAATTGTCCGAGCCCGCGGCCTGATTGGGCGGCGGCATTCGTCACGCGCGGGCGATCGGTAAGTTACCGGTACCGAAATACGAGACGGGCTGCTGACTAAGTGCTAACCAGCCTACCAGCCTCTCCGGCGCCGCGGGCCGCACCCCTGCCGCCTCGCTTGCACGTTAACTCGTAGAGATCGAGCGATCTCCAACACCACGCCAGTCTGCGGTGGAGCCTTGGATATTCTTCCACTGGCCGCCCATGCTGCTGCTGATCGCCTGACGCATCGCCCAGCCAGCTGAGCCAGCGTCGCGGGCCTCCAGCAGGGCCCAGCCAGGCCCAGCAGGACACCCCCCTGCGCAGGCTCCTCCGCTCCACCACTGCCCGCCCATCGCCAACCGATCCATGCCCCCTCCACACTGTCCAAGATCCGCCGTAAGGGCTTGTAAAGTTGTAATGCGCGGTAAATTTTCCCTCTGTGGCGCGTCGTGATCCTCATTCCCAGCCTGCCCGTCTCCAGAAATCTCCTGCTTCCCCCGAGCCTGCCCGCCCAGAGTCTGACTCGCCAAATACCGATCTCCGCGCCTCCTGTGGCTCTGCGGCCCTCGATCCATTCCTTCCACTCCTCAAAATCTTCTCCTTCGCCCTCCTCACGTCCTCACATTCCTCACCGGCGTCCTGCCCTCCTCTCCTCCTGTCCTCCCGTCCTCTCTCGCCGCGTCCCGTTCCTTCTTCTTTCCTTTTATCCCTCCCTCCCACGCCCTCTGGCTGAAGGGTGAGAAAAAAACAAAAGGAGCACGACGCCAGCTCAGATCCCACGCGACACAACGCTGCTATCCCTTGCGTTGCTCTGCCCGCTCAACCCCTCCGCCCGCCCGCCAGCACCACGTCGACCCCCCGACCGCCATCCATCTGGCAGCACCCGAGTCCCTTGGCAGCTGCTCCATTCATCTGCACCAGGGCCCGTCCCGATCTGATCTGATCTGATCGGATCTGATCTGATCTGTTTGCCGCGCTGCCGTTCTCCGTCCTTTCGTCTCGTCTCGTCTCGTCTCATCTGCGA